AAAACAAGGCGTTAATATTTTTTATTTGTAGGATATTTATTTACAAGAAAATAAAATATGAAATTTTTCTATATTTAAATATATTCGGCCAGGCTGACAAATAATTTTTATTTTTATTTAGGGTCGGTTCAATCGGGATCGGACCAGACAGGTCTGAATTTTTTTCTAGAAAATTTCAGTCGGGCTAGGTTTGAAAAATTGGGCCGACGCAGATCACTACTTGACAGAACTCAAATAATATATATAACATTGTACTTTCAAATGAATTTTGCGGTTGGAACATTCCATATGTGTAGTCAGGATGGAAAGGAAAAATCCCCCCCCCTCCCCTTTGTAAAATTTGCCTTTTCTCGTAAATAGTATTTTAAGTTAACAAAATCCCCCCCCCCTCCCCCAAAGGGTTAACAATAAACAACTTTAAGTATCACCTTATCGTGTTAAAAGAAGACTGAAAAACCAAAACTTATTTTTATAAAAATTCAACATACCCAAAGGTCTAATAAGTGGATCTAAATAGTGTTGGCAAAGGGCTCAATTTGAGCCGATTTTTAAAAACGGAGAACTCAATATTTTAGCGAAAAATATTGCCTAAGCCTCGAGATTTCGCTAGTAGATATCCAAACTTTGTGCCACCTATGAGCAAGATCTTCAGGTTTGTGTAATATTTTTCTAAATATAATAATAAGTTAGACGTTTAAAAAATCGTCACAAATCGAGTCGCTTAACAAACCCCCCTCCCCAACCCCATAGGAAAATCCTGGATACGCTTAAGATCCTATATTAGTTGAAATTGGGATAAGTGGTCATTTATGTTTTACTATGTTAGAAAATTTCTAAAAGATTATATCGCAAGTTTTTCTCATTTCTTTTTAATACCCCCCCCCCCCCCATTTATAAAGGTTCGTATATTCAAGTTACATATTTTTTTTAGGGGATGATAAATGTAAATTCGAAAATATTAATCTAGAAGAAACGGGGTAAAAAGTGATCCCCTAAAAATTGAACGCCATAAAAAAAATGAGCTCTAATTTAATGACTGTCTTACATATGATTAGAATCATTGATTTTTTTCTCTATCATCTTAGGACAAACACCCAGATTGTATAAATTTTGCACCGATTTCAATTTCGTAATAATATTCCATATTTTGAAATTATTATTGTTTATTTTTATACAAATTATTTGTAATAATTTAGAGTTAAATCTGAGAGAATATGAAAATAGAAAAACGTGAACTTTAATCAATGTAAACTTCTGCTTATTAATTTATGCAAATGAGCATATTATTCCTGCCCATACTAATTTTTGTTGGAAGGAGGGGGAAAAGGGAGGTTAGAGCTACGAATGCATATATTTTTGATTAGGGAGATGAATTTATATGCTTTATTAGAAACAGTTTATGCCAGGATAGGACTATAAAAGGCAAGGGTACTGGTAAAATAGGATGATGATCAGAAATTACAAATAAGTTTACTGCAAATCAATAAGATTTAATTCAAGATAAATCAATAATGATATCTTCTCTCCTGCTAAAATAAATATAAAAAAAATCGAAATATTTCCCAGTTGAAAAAAGAAATTTTATAGCCATTTTGTCATCATTGACTGGATTACATAGAATTTTGAAGTGCAAACCTTAGAATATGAAAAATAATGCCTTTACAAAGATCTTGGTTTCCATGACATGTAATCAAGGTCCTCCGTTCAAATGTCTTCTACATTGGCCTCATTAGGGAGTGGTTTGGGAGGCCCTATCAAAATTTTGGAGAGCCCTATTTTCTAAGATAAAATATTAGTTTATAAAAATTGTAGGATTTTAAGTGAGTCCCAACAAATTCAAAGTTTAAGTGGCACTCCTGCCTTATATACCCTAAAAATTTAAACATCTTGCTAGTGTAGGCGATAGTGCTTTTTCATGTAAGCATATTAAAGATTTAATTTAGTTGTTTAGAGAAGGGTCTTACCTCAAATTAAACGGAGTCGTGCTGAGTTGCTTTCCACCCTCCATAACTTTAATAGAAGCAAAATCTTTTAAATTAGGAGTATCCAGTGGAGGGGCAAGGGGAAATCCCCCCTTTAAAATTTCGTAAATATCATTTTTAGCTAATAAAAAATTTACACTCACCCACCCTACCCCCCCCCCCCCCAAAAAAAATAAATAAAATAAAAATAATTATAAATATATCACTTGAAAAGAAGAATTTGATAGAAAAATTAGTAAAGATTAATAACTTTTATAAATAACGACTATAATTGAATTTTTTTTTAGAAAAAAGCATTTTTATAACCAAAATTATTTTTATAAAAATCTAATATAGCCAAGCCAAAAACAATAAGTGGACCTAAAGACTTCCAATAAAATTTATGGGGAAAAATACCTACCTAATAGTACCCCCACTCCTCCTTAACAAGATAAGTAACCAGTTAATTTTTTAAAAATATAAATGTAAGATGCCTATAACCAATCATCACTCATCTACATTCAAAGAAAATATATTCTATAATATTTATTATTGATTTTTTAAAATAAAAATTTTAAATTCTTTTATGTGTCTTTTTTTAACTCGGAAAAATTTATCTAATAATATTAAATCATAATTTAAAATTGAGTCGTTACTTAAAAATTACGTAACAGATGTTCGTTCCTAATAATAATGAATCCATTTTTTATAAATATATTTAATTTAAATCGCCATTTAGAAATAGAAATGATTGAAATAACCATTCATAATGACATTTAAATTCTTGTAGTTCGAAATAGAAATAACCAGCAAATATTATATAATGGACAAGAAAATATCTAAAATATACTAATGTTACAAAAAGAAAATTAAGTTTAAAAATTGGCCCATCTTTCTTTGCCTTCTGATAAGATTTAAACATCTTATATATATTTTTTTTTTAAAAAACTGTTAAGTTTCCTTCTGAGTATATTTCCCCAAAAATGATAGTAAGAAATTATGCGAGCCTCGTTAATTGATTCTTATTCTAATCATGTGGGTATTCAACAACTAAATTATTTCTAAACTTTAAGATCTTTGTGGCCCTTTATAATCTGCTGAAACATCTATTGAACTACCTCCTCTGACCCCCATCTTATCTTGATATCTTTAGGTTTCAGTTAATTCCTCCCTTATCAATTTCCTATTATAAAAACCAATCAAAATGTTCCACTTGACAATTTCCCTATGTTGCCAAGTTCAACAAGAACAGCAAAACTTTTTGAAAAAAATGTATAGACATTAAAGTTAAAATAAAGAGGATAATATAGACTAATTCAGTTAAAATGATATAAAACTCACTTTATTTAATAAGCAAAATAAAAATATAATATAAATGGGTGAAACGAAATTTCTTCTGTTATGTCTTTGATGGTGCCATTTTTCCCCAGTGGACCACTTTTCCCTGAGGTTTAAAGTAGGTTTTTATATTATTTTAGTGTTTTTAAAATAAAAAATTTGAAATTTATGATTTAATCTATATAAAATTAAACATGCCGAATCAAATGCGAAACAATGACTAATTAAATAAAGTGGTAATTATTTTAAAATTCTAAAAGATATAATTATTATTATGCTTGAAACTTCTAGCGCGTTAATAGCTTATTTTTTAATCTATTCATTTTTTTTAAAAATAACCAATATATAATAATAATTTTAAAATTTTACAATAAATTAAAATATAATATATACGATTTGAAATTGTTTAAAGTATAAATCCATTTAAATCTTAAAGCATTAAAAAGAAATATAGATTAATTCATTTCTAAACTAAAATAAAGTAATGAAACATGTCAAACAAAGCCAAAAGGTTCATTTAGTAGTAATAATGATCTCAGCGAATCTTCTTATATGCCGTTTTCTGATTTTATTCGCTAAATTAAGCAAACTGACAATCAAAAAATTATCATAAATAATAATGTAGTTTATTATATTGTTACTTAAATTAAAACTGTTGGGTAAATGTGATTTAAACCCAAGCTAGTTCTTCAGGAGGATGGTAAGACGCAAGATGGCTAAAATTAAGGGGGGGGGGGGTAGATAGTTGTAAAGACGCTATTGTCATAAGAATAAGAAAAGAGGGGGGGGGGGTATCAACATTGGGGGAGGGAGGGATGGAAGTACTTGTTAAAACCTAATCAGCTTGTGTCTTAATTAATTCAGATTGGACAGTATGGTTGTTAAAAAAATTGACTTTTAACGAGTAACGCATTTTAAATGAATTGGCAAGAATTCAATGACTGTTGAGTGGGCGAGGGGGCTGGTTAATTTTTATCATCCACAAAATTTTATACATTTATACAACCCTTATCTAACTTGTACTGATCAAGAAAATTGATAAGGATCACCAATGTGATAATTGCAAAGAACCATAACTGGTATATATGAAATATTATATGCTTTTGAAGAAAAAAATGATTTTGCAATTTCAAAGGCTATCTTATATTCAAAATGATCGTTCTTTTCCTTCATCTTAAATCTCGTATTATTCGTTCCTTATCTATCTTTTCTTCTTCTTCTTCTCTACAATGAGAAGTTTTAACTTTTCCTTTAACAATAAAAGATTAAAAATATTCTATATTTTATTTATTTATTTTAAAAAAAAGGTTAATTCTTGATTTAAATATTAATATAATTATTTATATTTATTTTAAACAATTTATTTTATTAACAAGAAAATTATTTTTGTTTGATTATATAATGACATTCCTTTGAGTCAATGATTATTATAACACTTTTAAAAATAAGAAGGTAACAATATTTAAATAAAGATTATCGGCAAATAATTATAGACACTAAAACTCAATTAAAAAATACATTTGTAATAAATAAAATTATGTCGAAGTAAAATCAGGTTCAAAACTATTATCCCGAAATTTTTTTTCCTATAAAAACAAAAAAAAAATTGATTAAATGAAAAAAAAATTGATTAAATGAAAAAAAAATTTATGCTTAAAACATTCTCTTTAAAATACAATATAAATATGATTACGAATTTAGATGGAAATGTTAAAGTCTAAATGCCGAGTCATCTCCCAGCTGGAAAAAGATGCCAAGAAAAAGGAGGAAATGGTCGCTACTCTCAGGCTAACACTCCAAGAGAAGCTAGAGCACTGCAATTTCGTTACGAATAATAAAAATCCCCAAGGGAATAATTTATTTAACAATCCCAATAATTTAACTGTGTCATTGAATAACGCGGGAAGTAATATTTTGAACAGTAATTTAAAAAGAGCGCAACGGAGCTCTTCCCAAGAAAATAATACCGGAAAGGGTTTATTCAAAAGTATGCAAACGCTCACGTTAACCAACAATAAATCCGATTTACTCATGAACATAGATTCTTCTAGAAATAACATACTAAAAGAGAACATCCGTGAGTCGATGAATGAAGAAGAAATTAGTTTGGCCGAAGATGGAGGATTTCGCGAAAATGGCGAGGAGGCATGCATTGCTGAAGTATATTATATAATATATATTTTTATAAATGATTAAGCCATCTTTCAAAATAAGAATGAATTGCAAAAGTTATTTATTTTTTTTAATAAATTAATTTAGAGCCCTATTAAATCAAGTCAATTTTTGAGCTTCTAATAGAGATTTATTATATTTCCTAACTTAATTATGTTATAGTGTTTTAGTTCAACTTAAATTTATTTTATAGAAAAGTCATTTTTTTAAAAAAAAATACCATTCTATCTGGATAATTTACATAAATGAATTTTTATGGTTTAAAAAAAAGGTATAGAAAAGTTGAGAAAAGGGATACCTAAGGATATGATTTTGCCGCGTTTAAAGGTTGAGGAGTTAGAACAGTAATAATAAAGCTCCGATTTCCAATAAAACACATACTTTTAAAAGATATTTTTAACAAAGACCATAATGTAAAATTATTAGGGTTTGTTTTAAAGGTTTCATTTTTAAACGTAATTTAGCTTAGTTTCAATTTTTTTTTGAAAAAAGGAAGAAATTAGAAACTAGATTTAGGTTTAAAAAGTAGGACTAGCTCTGGAACTTATTAAAACAAATTTACGTCTTTGGATCCCAATAATCATGCTTATTTTTCAAATTAGAATGGTCGTAGAGATCTTAGCAAATTCAGAGTTCTGTTTCATTAACTTAGGGATTTTAGAAAACATTTTTAAAAAAATCTGAGGGGTCGGGTTAAAACTCATGATGATTTGTCAAGGAATTTGCCATATATAAATATATTTGCAGAGTTATTTCTTAAATTTTTATAAATAAATATATTTCTTTTAGCCTTCTATTTTTAATTTCAATAATCTATAATGTATAACCAAATAGCGTAAGCGTTTTCACATATTCTTTTAAATTTCTATAATTATAATAAATTATTTCCAAAAGATCGATATACTTTCATTTAATATTACCAAAAACCACTAATTTTAAAATTTGAAATAAAACTGAATTTAAAAATTATTTAGCATTTAGAAAATTTCGAAAAAACTTTTATTTAACAAAAAAAAGCTGAATAAAAATGGACGTGGTCTGTTAGAGAAAAAGAAATTTCACTTTTGAAATATAATTTTTTTTATTGATTTTATTTTTTTTTAACTTGTTAGATACAAATTATTTGAAAAATATTATACAATGGAAAGAATATAATTTTGGTGAGCTTAAAAAAACATAAATTTCTTAATATTATAAACTATAATAGAAATGCGAATCAAATATGCCTCAAAAGGGGAAAATCGGTTCAACGATGGATTCCAAACAGCTCAAGCCTCCCAAAATAGCCATTGTTTATCACCAGTCAGCCACGTTGACTTACAAAAATCAGCATCTTGAACGCTTGAATAGTCAATTAACCGAAGATAAAATGAATCTAGTTTTTATTTTTCATTTGACATTCAATTTTCCATTTCTTTTCTTCATTTTTTTATATAAAAAGTACGCATTTATTGTGTAGTCCACTTCAAATTGACCCACAAAAATAATATATAAATCCATAAATTCATAAAATGATAATATGATATTATATGAATCCATCCTCCTCCGACTTTTATATCGAATATATTTATTATTTCTTTATAAATATTTGCCATCTCAAAAATTATTAAATTTTAAAATATAAAAGTTATAAAATCCTATACATAATCTCTCAATTTATTTTTTTTAGTCAAGGAAGCTGAAAGAATTGGAAAAGTCCAAGAAAACTTTGCTGGAAAAGAACAAGAAGATTTTGATGAGAAGTGTAGATCTCAACAACGAACACCGAAGGTTAGAGATAGCTCTCAAATCTTTCACTGACGAAAATAACAAACTAGTAATAAAAAAATATCGCCTATATTTATTATTTATCATTAAAATTTTGTTAAGGGTTTGATTCAGGTTTTTTAAATATTTTAATGGATATTCTTAAATTAAAAATGTTTCCTAACCAAACTAGTTCCAGGTGTGAAAAAAAGAAGCTGATTTTCATTTGAATAACCACTCCAATTATAGTTTCCCATATTCAGTATAATTATTCTTAAATATGCCTTGCATACATGGTTGAGATTATCAATGTTACGTTTAATAAAAAATAAATAATTTAGGATATATGATATAGATGGGAAAAATTAAACCATTAAAATGTAAATTAACCAAGGAAGAAGTCTAAAAATTTTTTTGATATTTCCACACATGGTGTTGTAGTTAGTTGATAATCATATTGAGTCTGAGTTATTTGTTTAAACTTTAAATATTAATCGTTCACATTTCACTCATACCTTTCTTAATTTAATTTATGCACTAGAGGTTAAAACATCCTTTTTTTATAATATTCAAACTTATCTAAAGAAATTCTATAAACAATAAAACACATTTCGAGAAAAAATACAATTTCGATTTTTTTTTATTCTCTAAATTGTTGTAACTCGATTTTTATCATTATTATACCTTTTAGAAATCATTTAGATAAATTTCTTGATTTTTTTCATATAACTTGATATCCCTCAGGGAAAATGAACGGGGGCCGATGTCCATGTAATTATCATTGTAACAAAAATGAAAGTATTTTAAATCTTATTAAACTGATATAACATCTAATCTCAACGTAAATATACATAGATAATATGTCAGGAGTTCATAATTATTCTTATAATTTAAATGTCTGTACATAACTTTAATCTTATTTTCTGTTTTGTAATTAAAATAATATATATATTTTAATTTTAATAAAATGATGATTGCTGTAATTCTGCCTATTTGATATTTAGATATAAAAAATATGTAAATTTATTGCATAAAGAAAGTGTTTAATTATCGCGGGAAAGTTCAAAATATCCTGGAAAAGATTAAATATTTTCTCTCTTTGAATTTTTTCATAATCATATGTAAGATAACCCAATCAATATAATCTACATATATAAAGATATGAGACATAATTATAATATAAGGTCAACTCAGATATTTTATTCTTATAAATCTTGTTATTAATAATACTTACTGGCTATTTTGTTTTAATGCAAAAAACAGGATATGATGACTATAAAATAAATAATCCATAATAGAAATTTAAAGGTCTGCACGTTTGGGCAGCCACGAATAGAACTAGTAAAAATAAAACTACTCATAATATGATTTGTTTTTGGCTAAGGAATTTGGAAGTGTATCTTTTTAACAAAACACATATGCCGAAATTCTAAAAAATTGCTATAGGTGTTAATTTGAAATTATGTCATCTTTTATAATAGTGGTATCTTAATTATTTGCTAAGTAAAATGGACATTCTAATATGGATGTTATTCTTCTGATATCTAAGGAGTAGAGCTTTATTTATTTTTTGCAACATAAAACGAATAATTTTAAAAAATAACTTTCTATATCAAATTAAACAAAATTTCTCTCCCCCAAATAATCTCAAAAAATATTTATTCATAACTTGTGTTAATGCATACATTAGCACATCAATCTATATTTTGCTTCTTTTTTACGCAAAAAATATATATTCATGCTTATTACCGAATTATTAATACATGCGTAAATTTAACTATCCCTGGTGTATTAATATGCTAATATTCGCTTTTTGAAAATGTGAGGATTATTTTTTAAAAGTCATTAGTTATATGACCAATTGTTAAAAATAAGGTCAAATATAATATGATTATTTATCAAATTATTTAAATATGAGATATATAATATATTCGACAGGAAATGTTAAGATTTATAGTTTTATTATTTAAGGCATAGTCTGATTTTCATATTTTTAAGGTGTAGGACAGGCTAATATTTTAGTTTTCATGACCGTGTTAATCAAATATAACTTTATTGAGAAATTATAAGTACTTTTAAAAGTTTAACTGTATTAGAAAGCTCACTTAATTCATTATAATTATATAAAAGTCTTATCGAAATAATAGTTTTAAAAACTTATCAAATAATTTGTAAAGAATGAAATCCAAACGAAAAATCGTCAACAAATTCAAAATATAAGTACCCAGTTGAATCACGAAAAAAAGCATTGCCAACTCTTGAAACAAAGGTTGGATGAGCTAGACTTGATGAAACAAAAAACTGAGGAACATTTAAAAGTTATAGCCGCTTTGAAGGAATCCGCCCTGGAAAAGGACAGACGTATTGAAAGTTTCTTATCCATCATCAAAAAACATAAAATAAAAGTTGACAATCATAAAGCCAATACTAGGGCAAAAAATAACATCAGCTTGAGGTTTATAATAATATTATTTTTTTTAAATTACATTATAAAATTTATATTTTTAAAAATATCTTATTGTAGCGATGATGTTGATTCCTTAGGTCCCTTCGACGACGAAAATTATTCAATTCAATCCGAGAATTCGTTATTTTCTGAGACATCCAATCCATCTAGATCTCCCTATAGCATGAATTCAAGTTTCTTACCTAATCCAACTAGCCATGGGTCTAATTCTCTCAATAGTTCTCTTTTCATAAATTATATAAGTTCCCCCGATTCTAATGGTACTTTAAGATTAGGAGAGACTCAAGTGGAATCTAAAGATATGGACAAAGCTCTATTGTCCCATACTAGTGGCGATATAATGACTAACAACGATACTATTGGTAACTTTTATTCAAAACAAGAAAATGAGTTACATTCTGGAAAATTTAATTTGCTAACAATTAATCAGGAACTGAATAAAAAGGTGAGTGAATTAGAGGCGATGAAGAGCAAACTTGAGTCCGATTTAAGAGAAGCCAGGGAGCAGATAGAGCTATTTGAGTTTAGGATTTTAGAATTGGAGGATTGTAAACACAAATTAGTCCATTCTGATTCAAATAAGATCATCGACCTAAAACAGAACACAAGTGAGTATATAGATAAAAAGTCAATCCAATCTGAGCTTTGTAACCAAAATAAAAGAGAAGGAAGTTCGATAAGTGACTCAAACAGTGTGGCCTCCAAAATTGACTTGTATGAAAGATGCCTAAACGATTTCAAATATCAAATGAAAACGGCAGAAAATGAAGATTCGGAGTTAGCGATCAGGCTAACAAGGTATCAAGTTCTTAACTCCGATTTGAATAGCCAAGTAAAATGCTTGCAAGATCAAAAGCTCAAAGTGGATACCGAAAACGTTAGATTGGTAGATGAATTATCCATATTAAATAACCAAAACAAAGTGTTGACACATGAATTGGATGTTTACAAATCCGATGTCAGTTGCAAAAATAAGCTCAGCATATCTTCAAAGGTTGATATGAGACCTTCCAAGTACTCCAGTTGTATTATTAATCCGCAATTAGCTCAAATATCGCCGACTCACGTTTACGAAGAATTGCGTGGACAATATGAAACCTTGAAGGCTGAACACACAAATTGCCAAACGGACAAGGTTTCAATTCATGATATTATGACCCGATCGCAAGAAGAAAAGGACATTATGAGCGAAGAAATAGAGGGTCTAAAAATAGCGGAAAGCAGGATGTTGGAAAAATTGGATGCTAAGGAAACAGAGTTAGTGAGATTGAAAAGGGAGGCCGAAAGGACTAGGCAGGAACTCAAAATTAAATATGAATCCGAACGAGAAGACAAATTGGTGCTAGAATGCAAACTTAAAACAGAGTTGAAATATGTCAGAAATCTGCGGGTTAAAAACGAAACTATATCAGAAAATTTATCCTTAGCAAACAACACGATGACAGCAATAGCAGAAGAAAATAAGGTTATCACATCGAAGTTTCAAAATGCATTAAACGAATCTACTCAACTCAAGCAAAGTCACGTTAACCTAAAGCTTAATCTGGAAAAACTAGAGCAACGAAATTCAGATTTAGAGGAAGTAGTTTCCATCAAGGAAAATGAGGTGACCGTTCTCAAGGGTAAAGTCAATTGCTTAGAATTACAGGTACAGGCCTTCGAAGAAAAGGAATATTGCATGAAAAGAGATGTGTGTAATTTGAGGAAGGACATCACGGATTTGAGGTTAGAAATGGTTAAGTATAATATTTTGGACGGCTTATTAGCCAATCCCATGGAATACATCAAAAAAGATAAAATCATAGTGTCGACTTCGAATTCGCTCGAAGCTATTATCGATAAGTATCATAAGCATTTTACAAGTCAACTATCTAAATTTGATAAATTGGAGTTAGAACTAACGGATCACTTGGTGGACGAACACATGGATAGCCAGGAAAAGTATTTATACAAAGGTGACGATGGATCCGTGGATGACGAATACATTAGATTAAAGATTCAAGAAATCAAAGATATCAAAAGAGCAATCGAAATGAAAATAACGTATTTCGAAAATCAAAGTTTAAATGTAGGGCTGAGTAGAATAGCCGATCATCATTTGTCAACCGATGAGGCTGATATGGCGAAAGGCAAACTTCTGAATATTTTGAACTCTATGGATGAAAAATATGCATTACAACTCAACAATTACGAACTAGTGAAGCGCTTGCTCGAAGTAAAACTTAAAGAAGGAGAGTTGATAGAGATGATATCGGAGATGAGAAAATCTGATTTCCAACTCAAAAACGAAAATGAAGTATCCTCTAGCACAAGTCAACTAGAAAACGAAGGAAAAATCATTATGATACCAAATATTTATCAAGGCAAAGATATCAATAACAACGATTTGTCTCTATCAGACACCATAAAGTATTTGAATGAAAGAGTGGTAGAACTTCAGGATCAAGAGAGACATATGACAGAAACAATAGATAGATTGGCTAAAAGCGAAAGGGCTTTAACCATGACACTCAATCAAGCCGACGAAATGATAATAAGGCGAGAGAAACATTTACATTTTAAAATCAAAGGCCTGGAATACAAAGCAAAAAGATTGCAAGAACATATCCACTCTTTTGAGAATTTTAACAACAAATTTAATAGTCTTCACGGATCTGATTCCTGTTTGTATTCAAAGAACTTCTCATCTTCTTTCCAACTAATTAAAAACCACGCAGGAGGCTCTATGGATAATTTAAATGGAGGAAGATTAAGAGATGATTCCATAACAATAATATCTAAAGGAGCTAAACAAAGATGGAAGCTAGATTCCGCATTAATATCTCGGTTTAAGTTCCTGAGAAGTCAGGTTATGTCATACAAAGAAGAGTTGATTAGTTCAGTCAACATCCATCGTATCATTAAAAGCGACACGGAATGCTTAAGATCTAAGGTTAAAGCTCTGGAGCTCGAAAACGCCACATTTAGAGATCAGTTAATCAAAACTAAATCGAACATGGTAAAAATAATCATATTTGATTTATTCTATATTACAAAATATTTTGAAATCTTTAAAGATTGAGTGGATATGCTTATATGTCTTTATTCTTATAGTTAATGTTTATAATTTTTAAAAAAAAATTATTGTATAATTGTAAATACCCAATTTATTGTTTTTGGCATGATATCGAACCAGCCGAAAAAAATCAACTAAATTTCAATAAATTATTCGAATGAGATCCTCATTCCCATAAATTTTAGGTGTTTCATTTTTTTGACTTAATTGACTTATTCAAAACAATTTCATAAATTACAATTTATGCATAATATTGATTGGTGTCCACCCTACATTCATTAGCATTCGAGACGAAGAATATAAAAATGAACATGAAATTTTTATATTTATCTTATATCAGATTTTATATACTTCGCCGCGAATTCGCGATAACTATGAATACAGGGTAATAGACTTGAAAGAAAAAGTGCTATTAGGTTGTAGGCTAAATCGCAATTTACACCATTGTAATTTTTTATAATAAAAGAAATCAATCGAATCATGCATAGGGCAAAATAATATTCAAAAACCGATAAACAGCTGGAACTCTGGTAAATATACCATATTAAATTATTCTTACTAAAAATGTTGAAAACACTAAATGCATCCACACTTTAAATATTGAATATCTTTCAATGATCCTTTAAGATTTATTAAGATTTCTTAAAATTTGTCAATTTATAATTTTATTAGGGTCGTTTAAGTTGCTTTTTAAACTGTGTGGGTTCAATTTATTATTTAACTTTAGGAATTTAAGATAAATAACTTTAAGGATTCTAATTTTTAGACCTTTTAAAAATATATCCTAACCTTTTCATAATTAAAATTAACAAGAAATTATAAAAAAAATCCTGAATGATATAATAAAAATGAAAAGAGTTTTAAAATTGTTATCTCCTTCCTTTTAGTGATCTGCATCGGGCCTAATCAAGCCCGGCCCGGCCCAAAAATTTTTTTAAAAAGTTTTACCCGGCCCGACCCGAACCCGAAATATTTTTGAAATAATTTACCAGCCCGGTCCGAATTTATTTACATGTAGAAGTTAATTTTTATAATTACTCAAAATAAACAATATATGTTAAATGGGGTCTAGTTTCTATAAATAAAATCAAATATTTTTATTATACATAAAAAATTCAACATAAAATTGATAAATTTCGATATATTTAAAAAATATTCTAAAGCTCGACCCGACCCGGCCCGAATTTTCTTAAAAAATATTAGGCACGACCCGCCCGAATCTGATTTTTTCGGAGGGTACGGGCCGGGCCTTCTTTTGCAGATCTCTACTTCCTTTATTGTTTTTTTTCTTCATATTTTATGATAAGAAATAAATTATTTATGTATTAAAAAATAAAACATTTTTTTAATAAGTGACAAAAAAATATCAAAATTATTTTACCATTTATTTAAAAAATCTATGTTAAGTTGGCTGAAATGAAAGTTTTTTTAAAAACTAATCGAATGTTTTTTAAAAAATTTTTGGAGGGTTCTTAACTTTATAATACATAACTTATAGTTCTTTTTTTTTTAATTAAAAAACAATAGCTTTTCCTGGTAGACATCATTCAGAAGAATCATCAAATTTAGTTGATAATGTAGAAAGCTACAAGACAGTGGCTAAGGCCAAACATGAATTTGATTCTCTATTCAACGAAAATAATTTTATAGACAAAGATGTAAGTGCAAGTTATATAGTGATAAATGATAATGATAGTTTACTTAAGTTGATTATATATGATTACTAAACATCCTGCTAAATAATAAAATACAAAGTTAATTCTACTTCTTCAGATCCAGTTTGGTAGGAAAATTGGAAAAATTTTGGCGTCTTTTTTTCAGAAGGTCTAAGTCCGATAATGAATTATTATAGAAATAGGTTAGGTCTGATCTGACTTTATATAAGAAATAATCTGGAAAAAGGAGCTTAATTTTTAAGTTTTTTTTATTTTTCAAGGAAAGTAGAAGAATCATAAGAACTCGAGGGAAATAGGAAAATTTTATTTTTATTTCTGCAACAATATTCGAATGTCTCTAATAAAAACAGACTGTTATAATCAGTCAAATTCGGGTAGTTACTTGGATTTAAATCTAATAATCTTAAATTTTATAAATTTTTTAAAAAAAACTAATAAAATATTTTTCTAAAGTACAAAGATTTGGCCAAAGATCTAAATGAGCTCAACGAAGAAATTGTGAGAATAGAATTGAAAAAGGAAGAACTAAGAATGGCATTTTCTAGGGTTGAAATTGATGGATCCCAGACTGTAGAAGGGGAACAAACTTTACTCAAACTTGAAAATGTAAAGTTGAGGGAAAAACTGGTTGAACTTAATGATTTGCAGAACTTAGTGACAGTTATGAAAAGAGACTATTTCAATACTCAATATAAGGTTCTTCTTTACCTTCATTATTTATTTTTTTCAATTAATTTTTTTTAAAAAATCATTTATGATATTCATTAATTTAACGACTAAAATTTGTAATCAGATGACTTTCATTTATTATTATAATTGTAAGACTTTTCTAACCTTAGTTTCTATTAAGAAAAGCATTTTGATTTTCAATATTTTGATAGTATTTTTATTTATTGATTACTACGATATACTTTGCTATTTCTAATTACATTTACAGCCAAAATTTATTCCTGATTCTTCTTTCTTATTAGATAAATGTCATTCTATAAGTTGTTTCGGAATAAGAATTAATGGGGATTCGGAATCTCACTTTTAAATCTAATTTACTGAAGCCTATTTTTAAATTAAAAATTTTTTTATCTGACATAAAATATAATTCAGCATAGGAATGCCTTGTCTATGAATTTCAGAATTTACATCATGAAATTTTGGTAAGGCGATAGTTTAAACATGCGCAGTAGATTTTGCATTTTAATTGGGCCACGTTTTATTAAATTTAAAATCTGATTTTGCCGGAAATGTATTCTAATATGTGCAGAATACTCGCCCTATAAATTATAGCCAATTTTATGATCAACCTTTGAAGAAAATTTAATTTATAATAATTTTTTTCATAATTTTACCAAATATTTTTAATGTTAATTGAAATTTCTTTAAATTTTCATTATAAAATTGTCTGAAATTTATAGGGTGGGTATTATACACCTATATGAATGCCTTTCAGACAAAATCAGATTTTTAAATTTAAAATAATGCCCTCAAATTAATGATTTAAAATGCAAAAAGTAAGCAATACCCATCAAACTACCTCCTTACCGATTTTTTTTATATAAAAATTAATATGCTGAATTCCATTTCCTGTCATATCAGACTTTTCAAATTTATAATCACCCTCAGTATATGTTCCTTAATTAAGAGAATCAAAATCCCTATGAATTTCTGATACAATTACGACATAATACTATTATTATATAAAGCCTATATAATAATCATGATAGATGAAAAGGATGGAAAGTAAAAAGTTCGAGATAGAGAGCAAGATGATATTTTTACAATCCCAGCTGGAATGGATGATAACTTGCAACAATTACAAAGATAAACTAATAGATGAATTGAAAGGGGACAACAAGGCTCTCTTGTTACAAAAAACTTGCCTCACCTTACCTAAACAGCCGACGAATCTTGATAAGGGTAAAGGAAAACTTTACAAGCGGTCCAAGAGTTTGGTTAACCACAAGAGGAAAGTCCACAAAAATTCCAGCCTAAATTACAAGAAGTCGGTTCAGGGAATAAAGACAATAGTATCGGTAACTGAAACGAGGTCACTTTATACTAAAAGCAACAGAGAAGAAATTAGTTATTCTGGTAATGGACCGCTGGGCAAAGTTGCAAATGAAGATATTCTACTATACAATGTGGTAGATAATTACCAAAACTCTACTATTAACTGCAAATACAATTTAAACGGAGATGAAAATAAAAGCGCGTTACTTAAAAGTGATACCGAAACTAATAAAAGTGGGATATTTTCTTCGATGCCTCATTCTCTAGACATATTGGAGATCTTATTTAAGCCCAAAAAATTGATTCGAACTAGGTCTAAGCTAGTTGATCCAAATATTCTGTCACAATCCCCTAAAGAAAGGAAGGATAGGATGAAACGGATATTGGGCAGGGTAAGACATGACATTATAAAGTCAACATCCTTATCCCCCAAAAAATCGGAGACATCAACACCTTTCGAGAACTCTTCGGGGCAGACCAAACAAATAGAGTTTCCAGTACATTCCAGCCCGATAAAGAAGTTTTTAAAAACGGAACTTTTTTACTGTTCACCTAGAAAAGGCAACGATGGAGATTTAATTGGAAACTCCCAAATATTAAAGCCATCACCATCGAAGTCACCATTATTTATAACGCCTTTAGATTCTAATCCGTCAAACAATTCTTATGACTCTAAATTATCGTCATCAAATTTATTTAACAAAATTCTGAAAAAATACAGTGGTTCTCAAGGGAGAAAAGTTTTTAAAAACAATTCGTTAAAAACTAAAAATGATTCTTTGGATAATGATAACCGGTTTACTTATAGATGTTCAACTCCTATAACCTTTCAAGAGACTTCGGACATAGTATAAGAATTACCTTTTTTTTGCCTTAATTTAGTAGTTAAAAAGAAGTATTTAATTTTGAATTTTTAGTATTTATATCGAGAGATTATGGTTGAATTTATAGTAAACGCAATGGGCTGCAATTTAACAGCGAATTGAATAAAATTTTCTAGTGAAGTCATTTTTCACTAATATAATTATTATAAATTCAGCCTAACACTTGATCATAAATTATATGAATTACAATTTTTTATTTGACAATTTTTTATCGACTCAATATATGAATTGCTTTCTCTTGGTAATTGTGTATTTCCAAATGTCTAAGATATTAATGGGCAACTTCAGTGATAAAGCTTAACTAGTTTATGTGTGGAATATGACATTAAGCATTATACAAAATTTATTTTAATTTATAATTTTAAAAAAGGAAAAAGAAAATATTCAACACCATAAACAATCAAGGACCTTCAAAAAATGCCTATCTCTTTCTCTATTAGCTTTAAATATAAGGCATTCAAGCAAATATAATATGAATTTTCTAGACTTTCAAATTCAGGCAAATACTCATTCTGGCACATTGTCTAAATCTTATTTTCATCATTCCGATGTGAATTTAACTCCGATAGAATACCTCGACAATAACATTCAAAAACAGAGTAATAGTTATTCCAATAATACAATGGCGAAATGCTCACATGAATATTTATATTTCCCCTCTTCCTTGGAAGCTGACAAAGTAAAACTTTTGATTCCTTGGAAATCGGATTGTCATAGAAACTATAAGAAAGACGCCAACATATATTGTGAACCTCATCAACACAATTCAAAGGAAAGTGCCTCGCATATGACTAAAAATAACTTATTCAAAAGATCATACGTAAGTTTACCTACCACTCCCTTACATGTGCATGAAAATGTAATCTATCAAGATATGACCACGCCTGAAAATTATGATAATCTAATGAGAAAATGTGAAATAATACATCAGGATGATCAGATTGATAATAGCGAAAGCATTAGAACACATGGAATAGAGACTGAGACATTAGACAGCATCACAAATTCTAATAACCGCAATTGGAAGAATGAGGCTAAAATTACATTGGAAAAAAATGAGTTTAAAAAGTACAGTGGTAAATCAAGTGTGATGCTAAACTTCAAATTCAAAGAAAATCTGCTGAAGTTAAAACCAAAGGTAGGAGATACTTCCAACAAGAACCAAAGAACAATGTTCTCCTCTTATAATACAAATTTTGTTAAGGCATCTTCGTCGGTAAACACTTTAGTGTTTGAACCGCCTAAGAATTTTTTCATAAATTTTATTGTTGGAGATTTCGGGCTATGTATGGTGTGGTCTAAACCAAAAGAACATCGTCACCTTTATAAACTCACTAAGTCAACCCACAAAAAAGATAGGTCTACTGTGCGTTATGCCAATGATCCTAATTACAAATATCAAAATTTTTGGAGATACCATACCACGCAGGACGCCCCTAAAGAAGCAGAAATTAAGAATGCACCTTCCATAGTGGGTTATAAGGTATGATGACATTTTTTAAGCTTTATATAAATATGGAATAGTCTCTTATTGAAGATAAATCAATATCAACTGAGTATATTAAATATAATAATTGAAAATAAAAAACTATATAATATTCAAATATGCTTTCAACCAATTACTGCATAATCTTTAAGCTAAAAAAATGGGTATAGAATTTATTTAATTTGAATTATCTTATATTTTACTAAATTAAATTAACTATTATATGGCATTCATCTTTTATTCCTAACGCATTTTTTCCTATTTAAGGAAATAAATATGACCACTTTGTTATAAACGTGCAATAGAGAGTTTGGATTCAATCAAATTATGTAATCATTGAATATAATTTTACCTATAAATGCTATTGTTTATATATAAATAATGTACTAAATTAGATAACGATAAATGCCTCGAAGTATTTAGATGTTATGGATAAGGAACAAGTCAAAGTTTACATTTTAGATATCAGTTTAAGAGAGCCTATACATTTAGGCATACAAAGTGTTTACAGTACTGGAGATCTATCAAGCATAGTGTACGCCCTATATAGAGGATGCTTGCTTATAAGGTACAAAAACAAAGGTTACGGTAAACCGTCTGAACCATCATCAAATAAAGACATTCCAAAAAGGAGCGGCTTAACCTCAGAAGAACATAGATCTCCCAAAATTAAAGTTTTTTTAAAACCTTCTACAAAATAGACTTAAAGAGAAATATGATTTAGCCCTGCAAATCGGCCACCAGGCCGGGCTTAAAATTTAAAAAATAATATAGAAACTAATGTAAAAATATAACAATAACTAGAATTTCTCTGGGATTAGGACAAAGAAACGAGTTATATTTATTTCACTTTATATTTTGAACCGATATTGACCTAAAAATAAAAAACTTAGGCCAGGCTAGGGGCAGTCAAAATCTAAATAGCAGGGCTATAATACATGTATGGTAGTAGCTAAAAGGTTAACTGTGATCTTTAAAATAATCCAAAATTCTCATTTTAATTTTTACCCTATATATTGATTTATAGTATTTTTTTTTAATTACCAGGATAAATCTAAATAATCGAGAAAAAAATAATTAATTCTGACATGTGAGTTTTTTTAGAAAATCTGTATGAATTTTCAGATATTTTCTGAAATAAGAATTATTTAACTTACATTTTTACCTCATCTATAAGAAGGAAAAATATAATTATCTTAATCATTAACATTAATGATTTTAATTGTTTTGACACAAACGAGTAAACAGTAAAATAAGTTAAATTAATTTTCCATGTAATTTTTAAATGTTCCATTTATTGTATCTTCACAACAATACAAAGTATTTAGCGATATACGCCTATAAATTGGAAGAAACAAAGAATCCCATTTTCAAAGCAGGAGACATAGTAACGGCTCAGGCGCTGAAGGATGACCCAAACAATTATCTCATTCATACCAAATATTACTTGGGGAAATTACCCGTTTATTTTTTCGAAAACTAAACCATCTATATTATATTGTGCTGTACTTGCCTTTATTTTAATATATATTCTAATAGCCATTATACGAAATTGTGCCAAAATCAAATCCTTTATTTTATATGATTTTAAAAAAATATAAATTTTTTTCTTTAAAGATTATTTTTAGAAAATATTTTTATGTCTAAGATAACTTATATCTTAAAGAATTCTTTTTTATATACACTCATCTAACGGTTATGTAAAACAATATTCACATATAGTGATAATAATATCTATACAGTATAATCCGCTTGAGGGCTTTCCAAAAGAATACGAAATTCAACATGTTATAACAGAGAAAAAGGGGAATGTCCAAGGGAGTTATAACTGGAGATGTTTTTGGGATTATAATCGCTACCAAATAAGAATTTTTTTTAAATAAATGATCATACTAAATTAATGTAATCAATATTTATTCTTTATAATATCGAATATTTTATAAAAATAAATATTAAAATTGATTTGTTTGGAATAAGTATAATAATATAATAAGATAATTATATAAATTAATAGTTTTTATAAAATTTTAATTTTATACTAGAACTTATATATCAAAATAAAAAAAAACAATTTAGAATTAATTTTTCAATTTATACAATAAAGTTTAAGAATTGGATAGCTCCAAATGCATTAAATCATTTTATAAATTCATAAAATATGCGATATTTATATTTCTTTCAAAAATTAAGTAGACAAAATAATTTATGATTCTAAACATAAAATATATGAACCTTTTATATATTTCGATAATGAATACGTTCTTTTAATGCAAGAAGTTTTATTAACTGAATTATTTTTTCAAACTAGAGAGCAAAATCCAATTCTAGACCAGGGATATAAAACTTTGATTAATATATATATATATAATAATATATTAGTTCATTTAATGTTAAAATAGTTATAAATAATTTAAGCTTATAAAATGATATAAGTGCAATTTACAAAATAAATAAAGATTTCATTAAAAAAATAATATTTAAAAATATAGAAATGCTAGGTAGATATGAGCATATATAAACATTTGTGCTAAATAAAAATATTTAGGTAAATCTTGATTATTACAATATATTTTATATCAAAAATTATTGGAAAACATTTCAAAATTAGTATCTGTATATTACAAAAAATGAGTGAATTAAAAGCTTTTATAGATTTTACTAGGGAAAAAAATTAGAAAAGGGCGTGTAAATAAATTTTTAAAAAACGATTAAAATATTACTATTGTCGATAATAAAAATAATTACACGAACTTTTCAAAAATTTTGATGAAATTCATTGAGAGCTTTGATAGGAGCTTCTCTCCTCTTGTTAGAGCCTCTCCTAATGATAGCTCTATTGCCTTCTTCGGTTAAACTCCTTTCCGAAAATCTACATGCGTAAAATAAGGTTCAATATGAAAAAATCAATAACTTACTATTTATTTAAATTAACTAAGCTAATATTTTGGGAACTTAAGATATCACCCAGGTAAGCAGAAATAACTATTTCTAACTAAAAAAAATAGTTATTGGGAGAGCTTAGATTAGAATTCCTAACTAAGATGGGGCAATAATAAATCTTTCCAAGGATTTAAAATAATTTGGTCAATCTTATCAAATAAATTATGAGCATAAAAATATAAATATTTTTATATTATATAATATAACATTACTTGGTCCCTCATTTATTTAACTAAATTTCTTGTTATTTATTTCTTACTTATAATTATAGTTGAGTAATTACTATATTTTTAGCCTTTTAAGTCAATATTTAGCTGGCTAAAAAATCGGCTACCGAGTTTTTAACCGAAAAATATCATTTTTATCAGAGTTTTTCTTAAAAATATAGCCGCTCATATTTGAAGGAAACCAATATAAATTAAAATGCTTTAATTTTAACGGATTTTCTCTGACACGCGCTTGTAGCTGACATTCAGCCATTAACCAACTATACTTATTATACATTTTATAACTTACTTGTCAACTCTGATCAAAGGCTTTTTTTCTGGCGGCTTCATTCGCCAAACGACGGACAGGACCCTATGGCTTTTGTTGCTGTACTTGGTAGACGCTACGTATGACGATTTAACGATCAGTACCACCGTGTTCATGAGATTCTTCGAGGTCGTAATCAAAGAAGTGACGCTGTCCAACTTTAAAATAAACAATAATTTTTAAAATAAGACACTTATTTGCTTAACAAAATATAAGATCCATCAGGATTCAGAATATCTCAATTTTAATAAAAATATGATTTACCCGAAATGTACTCCAGTAATCACACTGTAAACTTTAGAAAATTTTGCTATGAACCTTTGTGTATTTAAAAAAAAATGTATATAAAAAATTTATACAATTAATAAAAATTAAGAGTTCAAAATTTCATGGCAAAATTGACTGAGATTCACAGTGTGGGTACTTTACACATGGACTAAATTTTCGTAAAAAATCACCTTTAGCAAATGATTTTAAATGGAGAGATTACAAATCCCTGATTATGGTACACTATTAAATAATGAAAGGAAATGTTACCCCTGAAACCACGATCTCGCCTCCTACGTTGGTCACATCAGCCTTAACCTTCGAGGTTATCGCCAATTGCTGACAATACAGGTCCAGCCTCTGCAAATAAGCAAGCAGGTCTTGCTTGGTAGTTGATTCGGGACAAGTATCTGCTATAGCGCGTGCCAGTTTATCGAGACCTTTACCCACTTCACTGATCTTTTGGGCAGCAGAGATGACGTCCATGGTAGATTTAAGAGGTCCTCGGCCCCTATAAAATGCGAAATGTATGCCTTTATATCTCGATCTCTTTATTCAATTATATATATTGGATATCTTATCCATCAAAAGAAGATGTGTTTCTGTTTAGCAATGACGCTATTAGATCGTTTTGGAAACCTCATTTCTCTGACAAACCTTTTCTTTCCTTTTATGCTTAGTCAATTTTTTCTTAATCCTCAGTATTTGTATGCAAAGTAGGTGTACCTCGTGAAATCGGTCATCTCCATCATAATGATGCACATTCGCTTAGCAATGACGACAATATCGTTTCCGGAATCTTCCCATTTACTGACTTCCCTGTCGAGTATAGCCTTTTGTTCACGGAAAGATTTGATTTCCATCTGTATCTTGGCCTTGGCCTCGTCCGGTAGCTGTCTCATTATCGCCTTGACGCGTATGTTTCACAAAATAGAAAATAAAATAATTTTATAGATATTGATTTTTTTAACCTTAGTACTTGTAATATTTAAAAAATTATGGGATGGGGTTTAGATATTTAGGCAGTTTTTATAAAATAAATTTAAAAAGGAACAAGAGTGATATTTTTATAATCTCTTTTTCCAGTATTATATTTTTTTAATATAAGGGAGACGGGATAGTGTTATCCCGATGTAGGTATTATCAAATTTTTAAAATTAATATACCTTGAGATTTGAAATTTAAACCATAAATTAATTTTAATAAAATACTCAAATGATTCTAAAAATAATGTGCAAAAATATGCTCATAAAATTTTTTAAATGCAAATTAAATTTTTACACCTCAATAACTTCTATTTTTTTACATTTTTACAAATAAAATAAAAGTTACTCTGATTAAATATTAATTCTAAATGATAAAATAATCTCAACTTAATCATGCAAATTTAATATCCTGAAATTAACTTTTATTAAATATGAAGACCTGGAGCAGATTATGAAGGAATGTATTGGCCATTTTTAAGTAGCCATGTATTTTAATAAAAAATCCAAATAATTTATAAGAACACCACAAGCCACGAGCTTATTTAGGGTTATGAATGACAATATGAAGATCGCTGGTTTTTAAAAAATTATATGACAGTTTTGAGTGACAACAGGTTCCAGATGACAGATTATAATATGAGTGAACCTGATTTAACATATTTGACAATGTATTATCATTTATTTACTTCTATAAAATAATTAATAAAGTCTAAAAACAAAGAGGAGCTATTATAACATGCACAGTAAAGGGATTAAAGGAACCCCGGATGTTTTTCATAATCCTTAAATTCTCACTTTTTAAATTTAATAATAATAAAAAAAAACTAAAATATTTTTTCCTTAAATATTAATTTCTAGGATATATGTATAGAATAAAACTGTTTAAATATATTGAGAAATCTTCAACTTTTTATTTATAGCCCATCAATTTTTGATGGATAATATAAACCAGGTGTAACGTGTGAAATTAAAACCGTGAGATTTTGTTAATACTGTGAAAGTGAAATCATGAGATTTTGTTTTATCGCTTCAAATTTCAAAATCTCACGGCTATTCAATATTTCAAAATCTCATGAATCTTTTTAAAATTTAACATTATAAATTTTAATATACTTAATAGCAGGGATGTGAACCTGGACCCGGACCCTGAACCCTCGTATTTTGGCTGAACCCGGACCCGGACCCTTTAAAAAGTGGAGGGTCCAAGGGTTCAGGGTGTTAAAAATTTTTAACATAAAATTTTTTTTTTAATTTGTAAAAATATAATTTTTAAAAAATAATATAAAATATTTATAATTTTATTAATTTTTAAAAAAATAATATAAAATTTTTATAATTTCATTAATTTTTAAAAAATAATATAAAATTTTTATTAATTTTTAAAAAATAATGTAAAATTTTTATAATTTTATTAATTTTTAAAAAATAATGTAAAATTTTTATAATTTTATTAATTTTTTTCGTGGAATCTCCCTAAAATAGTCACTTTAAAACTATAATTGATAAAGCAAGGGATGTTGTAAAATATTTAAGAACTCCCACAATTGTTAGAATATTAAAATCCATGAAAAGGTAAATGGCAATTTTAGATTGCACAACACGTTGGTCCTCTATGTGTATGATGCTAGAGCGATTATTAAGTTTGAAAGATTTCTGTAATGATTTTATCATAGGAGCATGTGAAATCATTTTTTCAGAAGATGATTAGAATCAAGTAAAAGAGCTTACTAGTGTGCTGGTTCCTTTAAAAATAACAACATTAAGAGTGCAAGCTGAACAATTATGTTTATCGGATTTTTATGGCATATGGTTAAGATGTCGATTAAAGTTAGGGAGATTAACAAGTTCTTTTTCAAATGAAGTATTAGAAAATACGAAAATAAGAGAGCAACAATATTTATAAAATAGTGTTGTATATGCTTCGATATATTTAGACCCGCAATATCAGGTTTTATTAAGTAGTGAGCAAAAACAAATGGCTATAGACCATCTTGAAGATTTATGGCATACCCTAAACTCTATTATTAAACAATACATTGGTGGTTACAACAATATCTACTGGTTGTAACGATAACAATGATAATGACAACGATATTGATGATCTGGAAATTTTACTATTAGATAGAGAAAAAAAATTAAATTATCATCTGATAGAAAGGAGCAAAAAATATCTATTGTATCTTTAATAGAAAAGTTCTCGGAAGTTATGAGAATAAATAGAGATGCAAACATTTTAAAATTCTGGGAGGAAAATTCTTCAATATATCCAGAATTATATACCTTTTCTAGAATCGTCATGGCTGTACCGGCGACACAAGTACAATAATTTATGTATTATAAAAATGACTATCTATTTTAGGTAAGCGTAGAACGTGGATTTTCATCGTTGATTAATTTACGTGGAAATCTGAAGGATGATATTTTAGAAGATATCATGATTGTGCGATTGAATAAAATATTTAAAATATAAATTATCTCATTTCGAATTATAAATGTGTATATATTGAAGTATAATAAAAAATGAATGAAAAAAAGTCTTATTTTTGAGTCATTATTTTTATGTTTCCTCTGAACCCGGACCCGAACCCTGGACCAGGGTCCTTTTTAAATTTATTACCGGACCCGGACCCTTTTTTTTTGTCGAAGGGTTCACATCCCTGCTTAATAGCTCAAATTGTCTCAAATTTAAAACAGATTTGAAATAAATTTATGATTTGCAATATAACCACAGAGATGATTAAAATGATAAATAATTATATTTTGCATGAAATTTTTTTTATAAAATATAAATTTTAAATTTATGTATAAATAAATTCATATCAATATAGTTCTTCATCTATTTTCTAATTCTTTCATTGAATTTTTTTTATAAGATGCCAAAAATTCAAATTAATTGTACAAAAAAAAATATATAGATAAATTATCTTTAAAATATTATTTTTAAGCATTTGAATTAATTCATAGAATAATTTTTGTCGAAACCCAGGATGGCCGAAATAAAATACCACTTCTTTTTGGATAATTCGTATTTACATATATTTCAAAAAAAATATCCCACAATTTTTAATAATTATTTATTATAATCTAAAGGTAAACAAAATATGTATTGCTCAAATATAATTATATTTTAAGATTAGCCATTTAGGTAAAAAAAATTTCTTATTGTTTTTTGCAGCTTAAATAGGGTGGGTACTGATTTTTAGAGGGTAAAGTAGAATTTTAAGAAGGGTATACATCTAGTAAATTTTCTGTCATGTAGAAGCATCTATTGCATACTATTTTTTGTCATTAAATTAATGTCGATAGAGAAAATGTACCTTGTTAAGGAAATCTGAGGAGGAAATGTTAAGGTGCCTATGGATAGCTATGGGATCGGAGTCTCTTGTTTTAACTTACTAAATCAGGCCTGATTCTAGCTTTACTCATTGGACAAAAATATTGGAAGGGGAGTTAAAAAAAATTTTAACATCATAAAACGAATATTTGTTATTTGAACATAAAATTGGAATAACAATGATTTATTAGAAAAATGCCAATATTTAAATATAATTATGATCAAATATGTTTATAAAATTAGATGGAAGATGAGAATTTACTTATAACTTTAAAGAAATTAGTTGATTTAATGATTTTACAAATAATATGTATAAACGTTGATTCAGTTTAATTGTGTTTGTATTGTATACTTGTTAGGGATTTAATTATAAAATATATGAAATTAAGAAAATATTTATAACTATAATACAATTGATACTATGTATGATCAATGATTGAGCAGTGTAAAATTAATAAAAGTAAAGCGTAAATATAATTTTCGAGATATATTTCAAAATGCCTTAAAAACATTTCCATTTTCATTCCTAATAAAACCAAGTTACCCTTTCTTATATAACTATTCGAATGTTTATCTGATTTAATAATTCCCTTTAATGATGAAAAAGTTGACTAACAACTTGGCGTGGATGATCTAAACTGAAGTCATAAATTTGTAATACATTTAAAAATGCATTTTTGTATGGTTATAAAGATTTGCCAAAATATGATGTAATATAATCTTTATAATTTTCTAAACTTTTAATAAATAACTTTTTAACAGTCTCTTCATTTACTAATCACTCTTAAGTAATATTGTTATCCAAAAAGGTAATATGTATAAAATGGTCATTTGTTAATTAGTTTATATAAAAAAAAGTTGGAAAAATCTTTTGGTCTTAGGATCCCCTTCTTCCGGGTATACTGCAATTATCATGTTTTTCAAGGCCCCTTTTTCAGGAACTTTCTTCCAATTGTTTTGGTTATAGATCTTATAAAGAAAGCAAAGATCTGTTATTAATTATTCAACACATTCGTATTTATAAAACTTTTAAAAAAATCTTCTTTAGTCATTGCAGTTTTTTGAGTGATGTTGGCCTATTTGGTAATACCTGATTTAGATCAGTTGGTTCTAAAATATTTGAAATAAGAATAACTAAAAGATCTAACTTTTTTTTTGTTTTTAGAAGTTCAGGCTCATTTTCCTTCTGGATCTTTCCAAATCATTTTCATCTTCATCCACCAAATTAACTATGATTTTTCATTACAATATGGGGTGCAATTGGCGCTATTAGGTATTTCAACTAGTGTTGTTAAAAAGGATTTATAAAAATGGCCCGATTAAATATTAGTCAAAATAATATTATGTAAGCTTGGAGATTTTGCTCATTGGGCAAGGCTTGAACCTCAATTTCGAGATTCACATAATATTATTAACTAAAATCTTAATCGAGCCGTTTTTATAAATCGACTAAAATCGAGCTTATTAGCAACTAATTTCAGCAGACGTGAATTGATTTTTTTTAAACTGATAATAATTTGAACAGCAATTATTTTTCTCCTATTACATTCTTATTTTAAAAAATTTCCAGAAACCAAACGAATTTCAAAAAAAATTGGGAGGGGGGAGGAGGTGTAAATATTATTTTATTTATTTGGGGGGAGGGGGGTGGGTAGGCTTAGAATCGGGCCTGAATTAACTTAAACATGTATTACAATATTATTCTACAAATTTCATTCATTGCATAAATTGGAATATTAGTAAGGATCCCTTTTCTTTCCATCTAAACTAATTACAATTATTAAAAATGAAAAATAATAGTAATATTCATATATTGCCAAGGTAACATTCATGATTATTGATTGGAGCCTATCCATTTTCTGGATCAATTTACCCATACACTTTTTGGTATAAAATATAGACTAAAAATATAAAATATGAGATATAAATTACAGACTAAAAATAGGCGACATCGGGCTTTTAGATATAATATTTAGTTTCGTTTAGATAATTAAAAAAAGCAAAACAATTATATATATTAAAAATAGAAATTATATTATATCCTATACTTTATCGCTTATTGATGTTTATTGATTTTATATCTCCCATTTATTCGACCTAATAATCTAAAAATATAAAGATGAGCTCTTGAAATGAAACATTATATCTCTTGAAAAAACATTATTAAAATATTATTCTAAAACATATAATTAAATATTGTTTTATAACAATATTGTCTCTATATTATAATGTTAAAAATTTTTAATTCATGTCATGAAAATTTTTACTTTAGATTTATCACTTCAAAAACATTTGGGCCATTTATATCAAGATCTCACAACCCAACCTGTGATTTTGATGGTGTGAGATTTCGAAATTTCACATATTACTTTCACACGTTACACCGGTCTTCCTTACACAATAATTTTTATTTGCCCCTTTCCCATTTTTTAAATATTTATAGTAAAAGTGGGTGGCGGCCAGACCCGAAAGCTGCACGTCGGCCAAAAAAATTTTCGGCCAGAACAACTGCAAAATATTTTCACGGGTCGCTGAAGTTCCTAAATGAGCGCCCCACTCTCACAGAAGCAGAGTCCTAATAAGAGTTTATATATAAGTAATTTTGACCTTTTTATTTTTTTGGTAAAAGAGGGTAAGATTTTGAGGGGGGCATATTTTCGAGGGGGTAATATTGTCATTGATTTCGAGGTAAATATGCAAATTTTCGTCTCCCCACCCTCTCCCAATTAAAATTCCTAGTTATGGCCCTATTTCTATTAATTATAATTTTAAGACAAAATAATATTTATATTATGAATTCAAAATGTATAAGCAATACGATTTCGCTGAAAATACAAAAATGCGAAACTAAATGACTTGTGAAAATTCATAACACAGGCCCAAGATTTAAATAATCGTTCGATAACAATATTTGTTGTTATTTCCTCGTTTTGATTATATGCCATATAAATATAACACAGATGATATGGCAATAAATGGGTATTTTATAATGAACATAATGACATGTGAAGTGTTATTATTTTACCCAACACTAACCAGATTGATATTACGATAATAACATGTTAACTTAATAAATTAAGTAAATCAACTCCGACTAACCCTATCGTTCGCGTTCGATATCGCCATAGTATCTTTGCCATGTCTCCCTGCCTCTTCGAAACCTTTTCCGTAATGCTCTTCCTCGTTTTCCTCATAAACGGCTTCGTTGTACTCGTCGTACATGTCGTAGTAAAGATTGTTCTCTTCCCTATTAGGAGAAGCGGGGGATGTTAAAAGAGAGCGCCTTTCCGTGCTCTCCCGGACGTCTCGTACACCATCCAGTAGGCAACGGTTGGCCTCGATAAAGTCGTTATCCAATGCGTCGGGGATTTGAATGACGTTATTGTCGGATGGATCGGAATTAAGTCGCGGGTGATCACCTAGGTAAGCGAGTGCTGTTCGAACCCGGTCCGAGAAGAAGGGTATCACTATATCGTATATACGTTTAGAATATTTTTAAAAATCGAAAGAACGGAAGGTTAGTGAACGGCAGGAAATAAAAGAATCAAATCGAAAAGAAAGATAAAGATTTTACAATAAAGTTTTAAGTAAAAAATTGATAATAGAAAAAGATGTTGTCTCACATTGATTCCTAAGCGTATCGACGCAGCCAAGGACCCTGTCAGCGTGGGCCCCTTGTTGAGCGCCGTCCATTTCGGCGCTAACAACCTCACATACCCTCAGAGTCCGACCCCGGATAGCGCCGGCTGATCGGTCCAACCGGTCTGGATCCGCGTTTCGGAAAGCTTGAATACAGGCATCCATGTCTTCCAGTATGTGGTTCTCTGGTAAGTTATTTGTAGGTGGTGAATTAGAAATATATTTTATTTTCTTTGTATTATTTTAATCTTTTTATATTCTTACTCTTATTTGTAAATAAATTGTATTTTCTTTTTTATTTTCTTTCATTTTCTATTTTTTCAAAAAAAAATTGGCAAAAAAAGTTTAAATATTATTTATTTTATTTTTATCTGCCAAGATTTCCAAATATTACATGTAAACCGAATTGAATCTCCTCAAATTACCAGAAACTGCCAAAAAGTCCTGAACCGTTGTTATATCATCTACGGCCTCAGTCAGAATCCTCACTTGGGTTTGCCAGGCTGTACTGAAGGCCTTGAAATTTTCCTTGGCTGGCTTCGAATTGGGTCGGAGGGCCACGATTTTGGCGGCGTTCACAACTTGTGGGTACAGGCTCGTGAGTTCCCGGGAGGCAAGCCTAACCAATTGAACCCCTTCTGCGTGGGTGGACAGAGAACAAGCCAGATCCGCTACCTAATAAATTATACAAAAAAAAATAAGATTTGTGCTTGCTTTTTTTCAAATTAGATGTATGCGCCCAGCCGATATTTTACTTTCCTTCATAATTACAATTTTTCTTTCTATCTCTAATCCCCCCCCCCCTTACCCTTTTTGCATATTATGTATACGCATTAAAACTAGGTTTTATATTTTATAAAAAAAACCTGAATAAGCTTTTTGGCATGTTCTTCAAACAAATCACAAGCCCTCTTAATTTCGGCCTCGCTTCCGCCTTCCGTAGCAGCTCGCGCTAAAATTAGAAGAGGAACTCCAGTTTCGAGGAATGAATCAGACACGTGATCTACAACGGCTCGCTTAAGTTGGGCTTTCAACTCTTCGGCAGTGCGGTCCAGTTTTTGGTTGTTCTATGAGATGTATATTTTTAATAACGCAGGAAGATTAGGGAGGTGTATTAGAGACGAAAGAAAATAAAATGAAGGAAGAAATTAGAAATAAATAGAGAGAAAAAAAAGGAGGAATAATATAAAATAAAAATTGAATGAATGAATAAAAAGAAAACTATTTTATTGCTGTTTAGATAAAAAAATTTAAAAAAATTATAGGAATAAAAAAAAGAAAATATGATTAACCTTATCGCCGTCCTCCCCCATAAATTCGGTCAGCAATTCTTGCAAAGCTTCCCTGACCCTGTCGCAACCTTCCAGAATTCGATCCCGAGTTTCGTCCCTGGTGGAAGGTGATTGAGCTATACCCATGGCGCCCGATATAATATCTTCAAGCGTTGATTGTAATTGATAGTGTGCCGATTTGTGAGGAGTTTTAACCGATGTTATAACCAGGTTAGGAGTGACCGAGATTTGTTGCTATTAGATATATATATATATACAGGTTGGCAAGATTAAATAATAAAAATCCAGATTTAATTTAATTCTCTTTATTTAGGTTTGCTTATTTTAATTTTATTATAAAATTTGATTTAAACCAAAAAATTCCTGATTTAATCAAAAAATGGTTTATATTTATTTTCCCTAGATACCTATATATAACTCATAACATAATCCAATAGCGAATGAAAAATGAGGGATTTTAAGAATTGAGTAAAAATGGGCAATGTGGTATTACAACAGTTTTCTATTATTTTTACACAAATCTAATAAAATATTTACATTATTCTTAGGAATCTTTATTAGCTCAACTTAGTTGCGCCAGGTATTTTTATATTTTTTTTGTTCATTTTCAGGAGTAAATATTATGGTATTTAATATTAAATAAAATCATGTGTAATTGTAAACTTAAAAATTTTATGTTTACGTTAAATTAAAATCGAGTGGTATACTCGTTAAGAAAATCTAATAATTTTAATCCAGACGCTTCAGTGTTTTTTAAACTTCATTAAAGATATAAACAGTTACCTTTCTATCAATCATTAAAAAATAAACAGTTTTCGAAAACACTCCTGCTTTAAATAAGATTCGAACTTAGGAGATATACCTATATATTTATTTCATAGCTGGTTGTGAAGGATTATCTCTTGTCCAAAAACCCTTCTTTTTCAATTTTATTCCCATTAACATTCCTTTCTAACACATTTTCCCATATTTTAGCTCGTCCATCCCCTCAATAATAAGTATCATCTAACTCCAGCTGAGTTGAGAATTCTAAAGCATTGACCTTATAATCAAGCTCACAAAAAAAATAATCATCTACTAGAAAAGAACAAAAAACAAATCGCACCTAAACTTTGAAACAGAATTACCCAAATACTAGAACATCTGGAATGGTTTATTGACATAGACTACATCATTTACCTTCTATTTCTGACCATATTAATCAATAATCAGGCAAAAAATTCTATTGATCAAACAAAAAGTAATAAAAATTTTAAAGAAAATAATATAGATAGAAAGGGTAGTAAAATGAAAATAAACTTGAAATCGCTCAATAGCAGCGGCCAAATCTCCTATCTTCCCGCCAGAACTTCCTCCCTTGTTTCCGTTATTTTGATCATCGTTCCTATCGTGAGATCCCCGATTTGGCGGTAGTTTGCGTGAAAGGCTTAAATTCTGAAAATTTTCATCGCAACTTTCGCTGGAATCCTCTTCCAGAAAGCGGGTCATCTTGTCTATCAAATCTATGGCTTTTAACATTTCGTCCAAAACGTAGTCCCTGTTAGACTTAGCTGCACTGATCTCGGGATGTCTCAAATAAGCCTTTTTTAGAAAAATATATCAAAATCTCTTTTTTTTATTATATCAATCAATCTGTCAGTCTGTTTTTTTATTTTCGTTTTTTATCCTTCTATCCATTTTTTTTTCTTTTTTCTTTCTTTCTTTCTTTCTTTCTTTCTTTCTTTCTTTCTTTCTTTCTTTCTTTCTTTCTTTCTTTCTTTCTTTCTTTCTTTCTTTCTTTCTTTCTTCTTTCTTTATAAAGTCATGAATAATTTGGTTGAAAGATTTTTCGCTAAAGTTAGTTAATCTGAGAAGTTGTTTAGTGTATATTTGGCAAAATATTTTTTAAAATTTAAAATATGCATTAATAAAAAATATAATTGCCGTTTTAATTACAAACAAAAAAAACTTAATTATTTAAAATATGGAAGATTTTAAAGGGAAAAATTAAGAAACTAACCTTGGTAGTTGTAAACAGCATATCCCGATTCTTTTTAAGGGAGGCGCGGGCCGAAGCCATGCAGTCCCTAACCTTGGGATTTTTAAGATCTTTTTGCCTTTCCCCAACTTTTTCGTATAAATTTTGGATGTTTTGACCTAAAATGGCGAATCTGTCGATAAATTCTTGTTGAGTGCTAACGGTTCTCATGTGTTGTAAATCTTGTTCCACCTTTTTTAAAAAAATACGCATTGTTCAAAAAAATGAAGTTGTAAAATGCAGGTAGGAGGTCCCAATCATATAGGTAGTAGTTTTATTTAGAAAAATAAAATAATACATGTTTTTCTTACATTGAGGTTTTTAGTTTCTAGAAAATCTTTGCGTGGCTTGGTTCGGATATTGATGATTTAAAAAAAATGACTATAAAATAATAACATATGAGATTTGCAATGTGAATGCCGGAAATGATCGGTTAGGCTTAGGCCATACCAAAGCGTTCTAGCTGAGCGCATAGGGGTTTAAAAATAACAAGTCAAAAATCGAGCGTTGCAAAAATATCATTTCAAAAAATTTGGACATTTCGAGAGTTTGCCATTTTAAAAATTTTATAATCTACTTACTAAAGTGTACAAATTCTAAATAATTTCCATATTTTATTAAATATATATTATATTATATATTTATAACTAGATATTTATCGTTTAATTTTTTTTTATCTTGCCTACCAAACGTTCGAATGTCAGAAAGCTCTACCTTGCGATTTTAAATTTCAACAAAATAACCATATAATTTTGATGAAAATCTTAATAGCCAAAGAGAGCTTCATATTAAAAAAATGATTATAACATTTTTTTAAATTATTGCATAAATTCAAGAAATTATACATTATGCTAAAGGGTTTCAGTTATAAATAGAATCAATTTATCAATATTTTAATAAATATATTTGAATAAGATACTTTTTTGAGTCTTTTAAGCAGATTATACATATCAACCATATCCGCAACGATCAGTAGCCTGGTAACAGATGAAAGTAAGGCTCTAGCAGATTTAACCATAGATGCCCTCTTAAGTGAACTGCAGGGATCGTCGGCAAATTCTCGAGATGCCTCACTCATTATTTGACCATTTAATTTTACCTAATTTAAAAAATACAAATTTATATAAAAGAAAAACAGCCTATATATAACCTAGAGTTAATTAAGAATTTAATTTGAGAGGGATGGGATGGGGAGCTTGATTCAGTTTAAACGTGTTAACTATGAGTAAGACACTGTATATTAACACCAGCCAGCGGTTGTGCAGGAAAATTGGCATGCAATTAGGATAAGAGTTATATAGAATATGAAGCATAATAAATTTATTTATAAGGTAAAATATATTAGAACAAAAGAATAAAAAGGTTAGTAGAAATTTATTTAACCAGATAATTGGATTTGATTTTAAGATATTTTTAAAAAATGATCTTGTCATTAGTAAGTTTTATGAATTTTTTCATGTTGATATTTATATCCATAATGTCCAAGATCTGCAAGACCAAAATGATTTATAGTTGCCATATTAATTATTTTTCCAGTTATTATTTTTCCCCCAGTTTCGATTTCCTCAACATAAATATTTTCTCATTATTAATTTTAGGTCATAAAAATTTCTATTAATATTAATGAAACTTGTAGTTGTCATTTATTTTATTATAAGTTTATTCTTTATAATAAAATTAATTAATTCAATTAAAAAAATTTTAAAGTAGATGCTCTCTTCTACATTTGTTTAGAAATTATTAGATGATCTTTTTTTCTAATTATCAATTTAGGGTTAAATGTTGGTTAATTTTTTTTAAATTATAAATGTCAATTATTATTTTGGGTAGTGATCTGCATTCGGCTTATTATTTTAAGCCCAGCTCGGCCCGAAATTTTTTTTACTTATCTAGAAAAGCCAGACCTGGAATAAAAATTATTTGTTTGCCCGGCCCTATCCGAATCTATTTAAATATAGAAAAATTTGATATTTTTTATTGTAAAAAAAAATATTATATAAATAGAATATATTAGGGCCTTATTTCTTGCAAGAATTTTATAATATATCAATTTTGACAAAATGTAATGATATTATGTTTAAAAATTTAAGCTCGACTCGTCCCAGTTTTTTTTAAAAAATTTTAGGCCCGATCCAGCCCGAAAATTATTTTTAAAAAATAGTCCGGCCGTGATTTAGAGAACTCTAATTTTGGATATTGGCCATTAGTTAACATTAAATTGAAAAGTGCCTCCTCTGACTTGATTATCAACCCTCTCAGAAGCGTTAATATGCCATCATTGTCCTGACATAGTCTAAGTGGCTTCATAGTTGATTCCCAACCATTAGAGTTGTTTAAAAAGTTAAGTATGTAAGAATCTTTTTAGACAATGTGGAAAAAAAAATTCAAAGCATATAATATCATGTCAGTTATGACAAAATAGAGAATTGAAAATAAAATCATAAATTGTTCTATTTATATATTGAATTATATTTAATACATGTAAAATGTGGCCAGAATAAATATCCCTGAAGATATTCTAAGGAATCTGACCCCGAAGGTAGGGTATTGGACCTTAACATTTGCATATAATATGGAGTATACATATTACACTTTAAGTCACCCAATTAAAATAAGTTTATGCACTAAGTTACACAATATTTAACCCTCTGCTCCAGTGGCGTAGCCAGGAATTTTCAGCTGCGGGGCCAACTTTATACCTAAGGAGACCAATATATTTTTGAAATAAAACAAATAGTTTCAACGAAATTTTTTGCTATTTTTATTAAAAATTTGTAAAAGACCATTATTATTTTTATTAGCATAAATGAATTAAAAACTAAATTATGTATTTATTTACTATGAGTTATTAATAGTAAATTTTGTTTACATCGATCTTTCATCGATTCTCTAGTGCTCGATACTCTTTTTAGTGTAGAGAATAAGATCTGACAAAAAGCCGTTGTGGCTGCTGAGTAACATTTATAAAATTCTTTAAATGCAAGATATTTTTTTATACATAATATTTACTATTTCTAAAATTGTGTTTCTTTAACTTCTGCAGCTATTAATACATTTGCCATTTTCATTTCATGATTTAACGTTTGCATATTTAAGTTTGATAATGATATCTGATATAAAATAATCAGGGTCAAGTGGCATTAAAACATATTAGAAGATTATAATCATCTTGTGTAAATCTATCTAAACACGATTTACAAGGTAATCAATAATTTTATAATTCTTTCAAATTGCAATTTGGTTTTGACTAAAAAATCTTGAAGATTTGTAGGTGTTTTATGTACCCTTCATGATTTTTGAATGATATTAAATTTTGTTATAAGTTTCTCAGCCTTACTTAACAAATCAAAAGAATTATCACTTCTTTTATTTTTTTAAATATTGTGGCATTAATACAATTTTTAGCATCCACTATATTAGTACCTACTTATACTTATTTAGTGAATCTATTGTTATTAATACCTCATAAATTAAAATGGTGAATATAATGTAATTTATATTAATGCATTGAAATAAAAGAGCAGAGGCTTCAACTGAATCAATGGAAACCTCTGAGTTGAGATTTCTATTAGAGAAGTAAAATATACTTCACCAATAGCCCCAAAATTCTTATAAATGATACGAGATGTTTCTAAATGACTAGTCCACTTCTGATCTAAAAGTAAGAGTATGGATTGTATAATTATAGGATATATTAAAAAGCTTAAAAAAATTATACAATGCATTAGATAAATTAAAAAATTAGAAATGATAACAATATTATTATACCAATTTTGAACCACAAAATGTAACTTGTGGTTGTATTAATATATATAATAGATTTTTTTATAAATTTTTTTGATACATGTTTGTGCCTTCTCATTATGACCAGAATGTTTGCAGATCATATGTCTGGCTTATTATATTCAATAATTTAGTATTTAATTCATTAAGTTGCTTTAAAATACAATTAATACTTATAGCAGAAAGACATTGTAAATTATGATTTTTTAAAAATACCTTGGATTTCTCGACAAAAAATATAATGCTAAGGTCTTTACTATAAATAAGATAAATTATATTTTTCTAAAAATTTTATTGTATTTTCTTTTAATAGTGAATTAAAATTCAATCACAAAAATTTTTTTTTGATTGGGAGCCAAATATTTTTTCAGATGAGTCAGGTTTGGAGGTCATAAAATTTTTGGGGTGTCTTCCCCCCCCATGTGGCTGCAGACCTGCTCTGCTCATAAAAAATAAAATAATTTAAATTAAATCAATATTTCATATTTTAAATAACATTTATATATAAAAATAAGGGGCAATATGAATTTGTAAGAAGGTAATAAAAGAAAATAAATTTTTAATAAATATTAAGTGACCAGTCACCAACAATTGCCTTACATATTAAAATAATGAAATACAAAAATAAATTGATTTTTGCCTAGTAATTTATATATAACATATTCAAGAATCTATTTTCTTAAAATATCTATTTTAGCATTGTATCATTTTAATTTGTGTCTTTGGAAATCAACTGATGATTTTAAAAAAAATGAACTAAATACACTACTTTAAATTATTTTTAATACTAAATACAAAAAATATTGTGCATATTTAACAATAATTTCAACTAATTGTTCCTTACCTCATCTAAAGCTTTCATTATTTCATTGCTGGCCTCTGGGTTGTCTTTTGCAATAGTTTTCCCATTTTCAATAAATAATTTAAATGCTTCTTCAACAGTAGCAACTAATACTACAGCCTTTTTTGAACAACCTTTTTTTTTGTTAGAAAAACCATTTGAATTTACCAAAGTTGTCACCTAATACAGAAAAAGTTACAATTTTTATAAAAATTAAATAAATTGACTTGAATAACCAAAGGCTCAAGTGCTTTTTCAACCGATCTAGTTTTTATTTCTAAATTCTTAGGGTCCCATTTTAATTTGAAATCAAAATCAGCAACCATAATTTATAATTCATAAAAATCTGAACAATAGCGAATTCCTTTAGCAGGTGAGTTAATGTGAATTTGTGCTAAATTAATTAAAACATGTGATCATAAATTCTAAATCCTAGATTTTGACCGATAATGGTGTTGTAGGTGAATTATTTTATTTAATTAGAATTATCGTATTTTACAGGTAACTTTTAGTATTCTTAATTTAAAAATAATTGCAGTAGCGATTGCAACAGAAAAATATAAAATAAGCTAAGCAATATAGGTAACGAGAAAGATTGATGATACAAAAATTAATCATTATTTCAATAATTAATTTCATTTAATTATTTATACTCTATACATTTTGAGTTTCATATTTAAGGAAGTTGGAGTGATAACTATTTGTTCTGGAAATAAAAGACTATCTTGGCTATCCTTTTGAAGATATTCTATCAATTTTTTATTATAAAATGAATACAGGCGGGTCCCAGTGGGGCCAAATCCCCTCCCCTAAAGCTAAAAAATGCAGATGCCGGAGATATTTTTCAAAAATATTATTGTTTATATTAATTTATATTTGTTAATATTTATTTCTATCTCAAATATATATTTAATTACCTTTATTATCACATTCATAAGTTATTTTATCAATTAATTTCGATTTCAAGTTTTCCGGCGTTATATTTACTTATTATTTTCAAATTTTTAGGAACGTAATATTTATCTACCATTATCAAATTTCTAGTCAATAATTATTTCTGAAACTTATTGTCAAACAGGGAGAAAGAAATTACAACCTTGTCCAACGAGATAGAGTCTCCACCATCAAGCAGTAACAGCTTTTAGTTAGAAGAGCCTATTATTTAATATTACTGAAATATCACAATGGCCTGAAAGAAATATTTCCTCAGAAGCAAGAAAATTATTGGATTCAATGTTTATTCCAAATTTATTTTCTCATATTAGAATGTATTATTTAATTATACAACTATTTTATATATTACTTTTCAAAAACATGACATTGACTTGATTAAGAAAATGAGAATAGCGGGAAGTATTTTATTAGAACTCAAGGAAATTAGAGCTAATGTTGATGAAAATAGGAATTTTCCAGGGAATATTAATAAGTTTGAATGAAAACATAATAGGAATAACTTTAAAATGATTTTTACCTTTTTTTACCTTTTTTTTCCTTCTTTATATAGAATTTATTTGTTTCGTTTTATAATTTTTTTATTATTCATATTTTCGAAGAGAAAAAAATTCTTTAAAAAAATTTACGTAGTGGCGAGTCTTTTTTGCCAACCTAAAAACAAATTTTAGGAGAGTATAAAAAAATATATTTTATTATATATATATCTTTCTCTTTTTCATAAGGTATATATAACATTTTTACAAATTAAAATTAGAATATAATATTAAAAAGGTTAAGTTATAAAATAAAATTATAACTAAAATAAAATAAAAATATAAATTGAATTGTAAGCAGCGTCTACATGAGCGGGAGGGGTAGGAACAGTTTGCATCCTATTTTTTGGAGGGGGTAGGATAAATATTTTGGGGGGTTATCTATTGAATTTTGAGATAAAATAGGACAAAATTTATTGTTGTAAAAATTAATAATTTTATTATAGAACTATTATAATACAATTCATCGACCAAATCTATATATTGCAAACAATCATAAACATTGATTTCCAAATAAAACTTTCTGCTATCCTTTTAAATTACATTTAAAAGGTTTAGATATTTCAGCTAGCTCATAAAGTTATAATAATGAATTCATTGTAAATAATGGAAGATTTAATTGAATTTATTATCTAAAAAATAAATCCTTTATATTCACAAAATATCGATAGTTGGTAGTAGATATAGATTAATTTAAGTTATCCTTTATAAATTCTCTGAAAAGAGTATCATTATAATTAAAAAGGTGAAAATAATAATGGGAAAATATCGCCGTAGAAGGTGGCGGGATTTTTTAGGGGGGTAGGTAAAGGTTTTCGAAGGGGGTTTGCATCCAGTGAAAATTCTGTCATGTAGACGCTGATTGTAAGTCAAATAGTAAAAATGAAATAACAGTTACAAATTTGAATATATAACAATATGTTATTGTTGAGTCAAAAGCAGAGCTATACGTGTTTAATATTTGTCTCCCTCGACTTGTAGCAAGGCAAGCTCATCGTTAAATATACGATAAGTAGCCCAGTATATCTGAGATACAGATACATTTATAACCCAAATAAATGAATGGTTTTTAATTCATCATGCAGCACTTACCAATCTGCAAATATTACTTCCACAAAAGCCTTTCCAACCTTTTTCAGATGGTGATAGGAAAAAAATATTTGTTAGATTTTTATCATGAAGATGTTAAAGTATCTTGTGCTGCCTTATTAGCTGAATAACTCAATGGAATAACTATGTTTATAAGATTAAGTATGGTTGATATAGTCCCAAAAAATGCTATGGATGCTCTGCATTATTTCAACACATCTACATTATAATTTTCCGATGTCCTCACTACGTCATCGTGACGTCATGTCATCGCTACGTCATGTCATCGGTACGTATTTATTTTTAATTTTTTTATTTGTTGATTTTATTTATTTATTTTATACAAACAGATGAATGGAATTTAGAGAATTGATGGTGTACACATACCTAACATGGATTGAGAGATTTGAAAATCGTCTTTGAATTGGTATAAACAATATTCCCTCAGCTTTCTAAATATGAATGAAATAAATGATGTGAATAAAAAGATTCAGGCTAATATTTCACTTAATTTTTTCTTTATTTTTTAGATTACCTTATCAATTTTCATCTCATATTATCAATTACACATTAATGAAATCTCTACAAGAGATTCAACTTGTATATTTATTTTGAACATACTCACAATTTTTGTCAGTACTTACATTACAATTTTTTATACTCATATTTTTCTTTCATAACCAATAATTAAGAAGATAATCAAGTATATTTAAATATTCTTATCCTAACTTATTTATAATCTTCAATCCTTATAAATAACTCTTTCTTTATTTTTTTCCCCTCCCTTGAATTTATTTATCACTAAATTTTATTATCTCATTCTTTTCTTTCTATCTCTATTATCTATTAACCACTATTTCTCAAGACCTTATCAATCCCTTTAATTTAATTTTTATTTATTTTTATATTATAATAATTTATACCTTCTTTTTCCCCCCTTTTTTAGTCTTATTTTTTAATTACCTTACAATTAATTAACCTTAATCTTAATAACATTAGATTCATCATGTTATTTTTTAACTTTTAGAATATCATAATAGGCTTGATAAGTCCCCCAAAACTTTTTTTTGATGAAAGCCCTCCAACTACTAGAAATATGCATTTAATATTGACCCATCTACGGTTTTACATTATTTTAATGTTTGTTTAATTTCAACAATAGTATATTTATATTTTTGCCTGATTTCTTTATTTGTCTAGGCTAACCCTAATCCCTCACATTGCTACCAAACATGATGAATCTATTATTAAAGATAAGCAAATGAAAAAATGGCGATTCAACAAACGCCTTACCCGTTCTAGAGTTACTGGTGGCCAAGATAATAAGGCACTGTGAACTCCTCTGGAGGTTTATTTTGTTTTTTATCTAATGTTTTACTATATGTTTATTTTATACACCCAGTTGCCTCCAAATGATATTTCTATCACCACTACCACAATCCCTATGCCACCTCTGCCTAATTTTTAACAAATATAAGCATTTAATTCAACTATCATTCACCTCATTAGGAGTTATTATTAATAATACTTTATCCGATTCCCTGAGGAACTTTCATGAATATTTAGAGAGATATTCAAACGTGAATGTGTAGTGATTGTCATTGAAACTGAAGGGGGGTGGCTAAGGAGTAATGAAAATGCTATCTTAACTTAAATAAAATTGGAGGGTAGGGGGCGGAGAATGTATGCAGTTTTGATTTCCTTTTTTTGTTAAATTATATTTGTATTTCTTTTTTTTCTAATTTTGCTCTGGTAGTAGTGTTTAAAAGCCCCATTCCGCTATTTAAAAAAACCGTCAAAGAAAAGCCAATGATGCGTTTTGGTCGTTTACTTGAATTATTAATATTATATAAATTTTCGCTTACTTGTTAATATTTGCTGATTTATAATTATGATTGCAGTTTTGTTTTGACTATAACATTCTTAAATAATACTTTGGCCAGTTGAAACAAACCATTTTTGAAATGGGCCTGAATATCAACTTTCACATAAACTCATCTAGCTCAAACCCTATTAATAGATACAGCTTTGATATTAAATTTGCTTGATATATCACCTTCGGTTTTTTAAAGTTGAAAACTTCTAAGTCTTGTTTGATGATAAAAACTTCTGGCACATCTTACAACAAAATTTATACCCTGTGTTGAAAAGGAAATTCCATATTAACAACATTTTCCACGAAAATTATTTTGTTGACATGATCTGTGCCAAAATTATCTTCAATATCAATCTCTATTGCCGACATTTAGAAATTTTAATTATTTTGAAAAATAGATTTATAATGCACATTTTTAAATATAAATTTCAAAATTAAATTAAATAAAAAGAGATATGATTTAGAATTAATTATAAATATTGTAATAATTTGTATATTTTAATATAAAATTGACTACTTAGCTACTTTCTAAATTAGTAGCGAGCTACCGCTATCGCTAAATTTTTAAAAATGTAGCGCGCTAAAGCTACTGAAAAAAGTAGCGCACTATGTTAATAACAATGTTCTATTCGTAGTTATCACATTTCCTTGGTCCTTCATTTTTCAAATGCATGATCCATATCGATAAAAATATTAATTGATTAATGATAAAACAAAATTATTTATTAATGTAAATAATTTCCATTCAATCTCAATGATGGAAATATTTTTGCATCTTTTAAAATTCTTCAAAATATAATTAGTTTATGTTCTATTTATAAAAAATTGTAGTTATTATAGTAATGAATAAAATTACAACAATAAGTAGTGATTACGCTAAAAAAAATATTCATTCATTTGATTTTGTTTAAATTGGTAATATAAATATTATTTTAAAAGCTCAGATATTCACGTGAAAATCACCAGAACTCCAAATGGCCCCCTTCCATAGTTTTGGTATTAATTTATATTTAAATTGTTTATTTTTTAACATCAAATCTATAATAATAAATCATTATAAGATAAAAATTATTATCAATTTTATAATATGCTATAATTTAACCAAAATATTAATATCTCAGACCGTGCTTGATTTCTGTATCTGAAATAAAATTTGGCGTTAAAGGAATTGTGAAATGACAATATTTATGCCCTTTTATAATAAATATATTTAAACTATTTATAATTATAGGTTAGTTAGCATTTATATTTATACAATATATATTAAAAAAGTAATTTTCTATAAATAGATCTTTCAAGAGGATACTTATAAATTCATAAATATTTTGGACTAGGGCTCTTGCGGATCGAAATCTATTATGGGTTGCGTCGATATTTGGAAGTAACCTAGATTTCGGAAGAAATATATATTGTCATTTTTAATATCTTCTTTTTTTATTAACATTATTTCTGTACCTATTTCCAAGGGATGGGCAGAAGTAACTGGCTGAAATTGATGAGAATGCGTTTCAACGTTTTGTACACTAACAAGGTTATCTAACATGGGAGTATTTTTGTTCCTCGAATTATTCTTGTATCTAAACGGAATATAATGTGAAAAAATATATTATGAAGAATGATTTAAGGGGAGAGGGGGGAGGGGGTGTAAATATCAGAGAGGCGTATAGGGTATTTCATTGATTCTCTCAAAATAATTGGATGGAGGAGTTATTTAAGAGTATAAATTTTTTAAAAACCATTTCTATAAAAAATTTTCCTACTATGATTTTATAAATTATTCGAAAGAAAAATATGAGCAACTCTCCAACCAATTTACTTAAGGCCTCCCTTTAGTTCAACCCAGTGGATTTAGAGCTTGGGCCAAAAAATATTAAAAAAATCCCAAAACAAACAAACGGCAAATTTATTATGACACAAAAAACAAATTATTCAAATATTTAGAATTTACAAATAATTATTTTTTGCCATTTTTTGAAATATATTATGATGGTAGGGGGGGGGGGGGGGTAAATAAATTTTGATTTATATATTTTCGTCTAGATGATTGTTAAAAATTTTAAAAAAATTTGGCCGCCTTAGCTCCAACGTAATATTTGTGAACAAAATAAAATATCATGATATGAATGTTAAAAAAAATTATGTTACTTATCATAATTATTGAGTATAACATTCGTCAATTGTTTGATATGATCGTAAGGTCTGGGATCCGAAGCTATGGCTTTTAATAAAGGTATCCCTTTTTCAGACTCCAATAAATTGCAATACCTTTCAGCTTTATATAAAGTAATTTTGAGTTTTTGAGTGAAATGAAGATATTGATAATCCAAGAGTTTGTTGGCCATTATATTTAGAGTTTGAAAAAAATTTGATATTAAAAGATTATTGGCATTTAGAAAAAAATCTGTTTTTCGAAAAAAAAATTCATTGCTCAAAATTTTTCCTGCAAGGAAAGTTTCGTGATTTATAACTTATATAATTGGGTAATCTAATTTGAGAGAATTAACATTAAATATTTAATTAAAGTATTTTAAAAAATTTGATGATATTTGTATTTTTTTTTACATGATGGGAATTCATCAATTTGTATAATTTTTATATTTGAGTTCGATAACTAAAATTTCATTATCTTATTCAATCTATTCCAGTAAATAAAAATATATAAACTGATATACTTACTAAAGTATTCTTTCTTTCTATGAGAAAATTATGTCTCTATATTTTTATTTTTATTAAATTGCTTAAAAGATAACAAAATTATAGTTATAAATCACAAATTGATAAATTTCCATATTGGTTAACCCATCTCATTATTCTAATAATTGTATTATAATAAAGAAACTTGAATGGACTACCCAATTTTATTTTACTAGGCAGAAAAAAATCAGCAAATTTTTCAAATTCAGTAGGACCGGACCGCCCAAAAAAAGTTGAGTTCAAAACTATAAAATTTTAGGACACTTAGTAAAGCGCCGACTTCATGGGGGCAGCTGGACTCCAGATGAAATATTCTACAAAATAGATAATATTGACCTATTAATTAAATATCTAATTTTAAAAAAATCTTCAGCCCCCATAGAAATTTTTGTAAGTCGCCCTCTGGCACGTAGGTAAAGATGGTGGTTCTCATAGATGGCTTAAGAAATTCACAAATATCGGTATAAACTTACTTCATGCAAATATTTAATATAACGAGCGTATATAATTTACAATAAATGTAGATGTAACAATATTATTAAAGATTTTAAGTCACAAAAATATTATTTAATAAACTCACGATAAACTCTCGTCAAGTTGGCCAGGGCCCATACAGACCAGTGCTGCACTTGCGGGGTTTCAAAATGTTCAAGCAAGCCTAAGATGGGTACCAATGATCTGTCCGTTTTCATTGATATTTATTAAATGATAAATTAGCAGGAACTCCGAGTGAGCCGACCCATAATACCGAAATGAATTTTAATCATTTCCTAAACCACAAGCGAACTTTTATACTAAATTGCCAAAAAAGGGCAAAACGAAATACAATTTATCTGAGCACCGGTTTAGAGCTCTTTTGTTTTATATTATATATATTGTAATTTATGACCATCTATTTGATAAGTAACACTTTCCTCTTAAGTTTTTATTTTAACGGTAATTTTTTAAAATTATTCTATTATTTTTTTCTATAAAATATTTTGATTTAATTGCTAGATTATATTTAAATTTAGAAAATAAAACTCACGTAAATTAATCTTCATTTATGCTTACATATTTTATAGAGGTTGACTAAAATATACATTACAACATATTCCAAGTATTTATCATAGGGTTGGCAAAAATTGTTATTTTTTTGGTTTACATTTTAAAAAAATTCATATTTTAATTAAAGAATTATGGTCTAAGATTGTAAAATATTGTTTTTTAAAATTTTAGTTTAATATTATCTTGCATGTAAACTAATGCTCAAGAGAACAAGTCAGGTAATTATGATATATGTTGTAATTTGATATTTTTTCAAATAAAGAGCAGATGATATATAATAGTTATTTAAAAAAAATTTAACTATCAACTATCAATATCGGTGTCGAAAGAAGTTCAGCTGACTATTATTTTTGAAAATCTTGAAACCAAATTTTGTATTATTGTATAAAAAAAAAAATAAGTATAAAGGTAATCTATTTCTAAAATGTTCATTAGATATAAATTTCTAAATTATACAATTAAATTCAAATACCAATGTCGATGATATAAATATTACTGGTGATTTTTAATATATGTTATTTCTTAATTTTATTAATTATTTTTTTATTTGAAAGAAATAAAAAAAAATTTTAAATATGTGTAGATTTTTGATATTAGTTTCGTTTTACATTTAGAATATTAAATAATTTTTCACTATTGCGATTAGGATCAGCAACTATTTTTCTACTATGTCAAAAATTGAAATAGAAAAAAAAAAATTTTGTCCAACAAATGGTGATTAATAGTGCAATTTGGTTGCTTCATTTAGATTTAGCTTATCTAAGTCCTTATCTTTAACTATTTTAAATTTTGATTTAAATCATTGATTTTTTTAAAAAAATCAGGGTGATTCAAATCGCGATTTAAATCGGCCAACCCTATTAGCTCATAATAAAGAAATTATTGCAGAGAATTTTTCTTTTGAACAAATATCAAATCTTAATTAAATATTGTGGACTTTTGTAATACATGTTACTTATCATACCTTCTATGTTTACTGACATGTCTTAATTATTTATGTGACTGTTTAATGAATATTATCTCAATAAAATTAATTCGCGTTTTTTGCCAAAAAAAAACTTATTTTATAACAGTAACCGAACCGAAAACTTTATAGATAACGGTTCAAGGGTCCCTAAAAATTAGTAAAAAAATTCTTTAAATTACGTGATTTAATATTGCCTTTTCCTATCATTTAAGGGAAAGACAAATTTCTTAAAAAATAATTTCAACATTTAAACCGATTTTATCCCCATATTTTATTATAACTCACTGCTTCTACCTAGTCCTACTATTTTTACGATTTAATTTAATTACCTATAGTTGATGTTCCTCTGGGAGTCCAAATTCCATCTATGAATGGTATTTGGTAACCTCGTTAGAATCTTATCCCTGGGTAGGCTTATGGTCCAGGCCTGAACACCGTCACTGAGTAGGTGAGAGAGTATGCCGGCCGAGTTATATGCTATCTCAATCCCGTCCACAAAATTATATAACAGTTCGCTAAAAGATAAATTTATTTATAAAAGATGTTAATATTCAGAGCTGAAAAAGGGGTATTGAGATCAAAATCAAAAGGTGATGACAGGAATTCAATCGGTTATCCGGACCATTTTAGTAAATTCGGTCCGAAAAGGTATAAATAATTTAAAATGTGGGCAAAAGGGTAATTTACTATTTCAAAAGGTTATCTTTATATTTATCAAGGAATGGGAAATGTTATTATATGCCAAAAAATATATATTAGTAATGGATATCTTAATAATAAACAGGTATTTATATTAAATGAGTATATAAATTATGAAACAATGGTAGTATTAATGATCAGAAAGAATCCTATCTGGGATTTAAATATTAAGAAAATTAGAAAAAAATCATATTTTCTTATACCATTGGGGTCAGAATGGATGGGACAATGGGGCTAAATTTTAACCTGTAAACTTTTTTTTAAATCATCATTTATTTATTCTTAATAGGATTCAACTTTCGTAATAATAAATGTATAAGAATTAAGTTTTTTTTTCATACTAAAAAATTTGAACGTATGCGTCCTTCATTAGCCATGGCCTAAGGCCTTTCACCTCGGATATATTACCCAGCAAGCCCAACATATTCCTGTATAGTTCTGGTCTATCTTTGAATTTCTAAACGAAATATTTATTTTATTAAGATGATACATTTAGTTTAGAAATCGTTTATTTTCACAAGCCCAATTTTGAATACAAATTTGCCTTTAAATTATTTTTATGACACTTAAAGAAGCAATAAAAAGAAAACTTAATCGATTTTTCCTCAAAGGATCAAATAGATTTTGGATTAACCGAAGATTCCATGATAGAATTATTTTCTAGAATTGCAGTAGATTGGCATAAGAGGTTGTCTTAGATCTCTTATTTTATGCAGAATTTAAAAAGGTAGAAAAAAAATTCTACGCTAAAGGAAAAGGCAAAAGATTGCCAAAACGTTTTAAAAGCTGTGATAAAATCTAATATTTTTTAATATCAGTTGTTGAACGTTTCAAAACATTTTTGGCAATAAACTTAATATTTTAATAATTTTTAATAGTAACAAAAGTAAAATATCAAATAAGAATAAATCATGTATGAATAATATTTAAGTTTTGAATAATAAATAATTAAGATGATCTTATTTTATGTTTATACAAAAATTTTAGAAAAACAAATCAGCTGTTAAATCTTGGGCAAAAAACCAAAAAATAAAAATATATGAAAATACTCAAAATCATGTATATTTACCCTGATACATTTAGTAAAGGTAGTTAAGCCGCGTAATTTTAAGAAACATTCGCAATTTTCGGGCGTCTCATCTAATTTATTTTTTAATTTAAGGAAATATAGAAAAACCTCAAATATAATTTAATACCTTTCCTTCGTATATGGCAATCCCTTAATTCATTTCTAAAATTTTTCGCTATATTTTTCCGCGTATGAGGTCGAAAAGAAATGCAAAAATAAAACCTAAAAAAGGGAAATATTTGTTTTCGAATGGGAATCATTTTCCCAACCATAAACATTTTATTACTTGAATTTTTACTACAAAAAAATATTCTCTTTTCCTGGGCCTGTTCGTAGAATTTGTATAAAAGATATCTGGCAATCAAAATGAATACGTGTAGATTCTCGAATTATATTAATTTATAACTATATTCCTACCTTCTTTTATTCACAACAATCCTTTCATTTTCCTAAAAAATTGTTTTTTTACCGGTGATGTTCCATAGGGTACTCCAAGCGACTTCCATGACTTCGTCACAAACATTTTTGGCGAGCTTATTTCGGCATATAGCCAGCATGACGGAAATGGTTCCCAGGCCGGCACCTATCCTAAGCTTACCCGGGCTATCTAACGCGCAAACTAAGCTGTTCAGCACGCAAACGCTGAGGCGAGTAATGAGACGGTCGAGTCGGTCTTCGTTGGTGGCCGCGTCGTCTTCTTCGTAGTAAATATTCCGGGTAACGTTTCGGGTGTTTCTTTAATTTAATAGGGGACAGGCAGATTTTAAAAAAATATAAATTTCGGTAATTTTTAAGATTTTTTTTAAAAATATTAAGATTGAGTCGGCGTTCGTCAAGCAAGTATCGAATAATCTAACATGATTCTAGGATATTTCCACTTTATTTACAATGGATCAGAATAAATGGGCACTTTAAGAGTTTTTTTTTAATGGAATAAATGGTTATTTTAGTGGTTTCTTGTTCTTTGTAACTAAAAACGGTTTAAAATTGAACAGAATAGGATTATAAATAAATCACTTTCGTCTTGGTCATATTATAAGGATAACTGGTCATTATATAACAACGTTGGCCATCCACAATTTCTATTTATCCGTGATCATTCATTATATGTGATGGCGCAAAAAGAAACACAACTTTATTCAAACCACATTCATTCGAGTTAATAAATATATTGAATTACCCCTAGGGAATATGTCCAGCTATGACAAGCAAAATCTCTTGTAAGAGTTAGTGGGCGACTATAGGTGTATTCAACCAAAGATGATTATGATATAAAAAACGCAATACATTAATTTAACTTTAAAAAAAACAAAAGGAAATCACTTCATTATTTCGATGGTTTTATACATAAATGGGTCAGACTAAGAAGCTCGCTGGTTTAAAAATTATTAGAATGTATTTAATAATAAAATTTTATTCCGACTTCAAAACTTTTTGAAAAATGGTATGATATATCCTAATTTTATTTAAAGTTACTGGATCGAGCCTGCTGCTCATCTCCGTTAGATTAATTTCGCAAAAACTCGATTTTAATAATAAGATACTAATAAAGGAATTTCACCTCTCATCCCCATTAGCGACATTTTCTTCGTTACCAGACCCTATCCTGGCTTCGAGATCATCTTCGATTTCGTAATTATCGGATCCTGATCCTATGTCAGAAAAATATCGCCACTCATCGTCCTCATCAACGTCTTCTGTCCTCTCATTCATCCCCTCGGCCTCGGAAATATTACCGAGCCCTGGAAGGCGCTCGGAAGCGAGAGAATTCGACATGTCATTATAAGATCTATCATCCCGAGTCACTGGATGACGATAATGCGATCTCGTGTTGAGCCGAGCGTTTGAGATAGTGGGCAACCTGGAAGGGTTGTTCGATCCCACGATATTGAAGATTCGATAATTATTGTCGGGCTGTTGCAAAAAATTGTTTGTTAAACTGTCGGGAGCTATAAAAATAGTAATAGTATACAAAAAAAAATAAAGTTTTATAATATTAACAAACTTACCATCTATATTAGACTGGTTAGAGCTAGCCGCCGGTAACATAACTACGTCACCCTCCATGTCCCTCTCCATCATATCGGTTTCCTCGACCTCAAAGTCCTCCCTTTCCTCCACGTCCAGAAAAGTTTCGTCATTGAAATCATCAAATTCGAAGGTCAGGGTCACGGTATTATTATCATAACTGAAATCTTCTATCTCGCGGTAGCCAACGTCAGTTTGGCCACCCAAAGCAAAGGTATTGTCCGGGTTAACCGAAAACGAGATATTCGGAACGCTGGGAGATAGATTTGTAGTATTGTTTTCAACGTTGATATCGTCAACATTTCTCCTGACCGAAAAGGTAGAAGGAGGATAATCGGGGAAAACGATATTAGGAACTTGTATTTTGCGGATTCGGTTTGACAAAACTTTTAGGAGTATGGAAACAGTTCTGTCGGTGGCAAATAAAATTTGTTCCGGAATGTTGAATTGGAACATTGTAAGTAAGCCGTTCCTTATCATCTTAAAGACGTAAATGGTTGATTAAGATAAATCAAAATTTAAAATAATTATAAAAAAGTATAAATTTAAAGGGGAAAAAATTAAGAGAATAAATATTTTTTTATTTTAATGAATAATATTTGTGAATATAAAAATAAAATTATTAGAATATAAATAATAACTAATTAAGAATACAAAAAATTTTTGTCTATTTAATTATTTTGAATATTATTCGAATCCAATTTCTTGGAAAAGCAATTAAGATGGTTGACTTACATTTTGCTCGTCGGGGAAACTTTCCATGCACTCAAGTATATGGGTTATGATAGATCTGATTGAAACCGGATTAGTGAGCTTCTTCAGATCAGTTTTGACTATGTAAAAAAGGCAGGCACTGGCCGCAATCAAGACGTTTTTTTCGCCTTTGTATTGGTTCATCAAGGTGAGAACGTTCTGAAATAAAAAGATTGAAATGAATTGATAAATCAATTGAAAATATAAAAAAACCAAGAAGAAACGGTTAACTGGCTGCATCTCAATGTTAAGCATTTGTCGGTTACAATATCTACTACATTTCAATAAAAATATGAATTAGGGCTGCTGTGCCGATATTCACTATCGTATTTTTTTTTATTGTTTTGAGTTATTTTATAATTGTATATATAATCGTACAATTTTTTTTATTTTAATAATTTCATAATAATAAATTAATGAAAGGAACTAATATAAAATTTATTTGTTGTGTATAAAAAAAATAGTTAAAATTTTACCTATTTTTTGTTATATTATCTGCAAATAAAAAAGGATTTTAAATATCTAACGAGTCATATTCAGTTAGTGTTGCTAAACGGCTCGATTTAGCCAAATTTTAAAAACGGTTAACTCAAGATTTTGGTCAAGAATAAAATACTCATGCTTATTGATTTTTCCCACGGATATCAGAAAGGTTTGGACTTCTATTGGCTAAATTTCGAGGCATAGGCATTAATATTTTGGTTAAAATTTTGATTAGGCCCTTTTTAAAAATCGACTATAGAGCTGTTTAACAAAACTACTTTCATCTATAAACATTGTAAATATTTTAAATGAGAATATTAACTTATGAAAAGTAAAAAAAATAAAATACACTTAATCATTCGTGAAAGTTAGTTGTTTTTTTGAAAGATATATTTGACATTGATACAAAAATAGATGGTAAATAAAATCAATATAAATATCGGATTAAAATTTGTAGATCAGCACAGCCCTAGTATGAATGATTGCATGTAAATCTATTTTGGATTTCTAATAATATTATTAAATATTCAATTCGAATATCATGCTAATTAGAGAAATTATATTTTGATATTATAATGAATAAAATTGAAAGAAAACAAGAATATAAATAGCAAAAATTCATGTAGTAATTTATGGAAAAGAAATATATACACGAACCTTCAAAGCTCTGTCCATGTCTCGTATAGTAGAATATCTGAACAGCAGGAACAAGTCGGTGGCAGATTTCTGTAAAATTTCTGGCCTGTTTATGTAGACCTCGAGGGAGTTAAATATTTGGGTTTCGTCTCCATCACCAGTAACCTTGTTTTTATTTAAATGGTTTTAAAAAAAAGGAAAAACAAATTTGTATTAAAATTGCTAAAACAAAAGAAACTAATAAATGTTAAACCTCATATATTGAATGGGTTTATATAATTTACTTTTTCTGCTGGTATATTTGGGCATGTGCAAGCGTTATTAGCTGTATTTAGCAATCCCAGGAAGAGCAATTTATCGTTGTAATATTTAAAGCCAGAGAGGTAGGAGTTTCTTTTCCTAAAAAAATACCAAAGAATTTAAACATTTCCATTAAATTGATCTTATTTCTATTTTTTTCTACTATTCCAATCCTTAAAATTTATATAGTATATAAAAAATAACCTGCTTGTACTATCGGCGTTTGATTCTGTTATAATGTGACCGGGCAAATTGGTTCCGGACAAATCTAAACCGATTAGCTTCGGAAAACTCTTGAGAATATTGTCTAACATGTACTGAGGGTTTTCGTAATCTATCTCGTAACTTTGAGAGATATCCAAAAATCTGGACAAAGGTTATTAATTTAAAGAATAAATGTTATCAAATATGCTTGCTTAAATTAAGCCAGGTGATCTGGGAGAGGAGGGGAGGGGGAATTTTATGTTATATTAAAATAATCCTCCTTTTTTTCAAGCCATTCGAATAAAAAAATATGTGTAAATTAAGATGTATCAAGAATAATATTTAAATAGATTTCGCAGAAATTACCTGCCCTGCAGATGTCATGTTTATCACTAATTTTTAATTTACTGATATATTCTTAAATTTCTTTAAATGTTCGTAAACCTTTTTATTCACCCCCCCCCCTTTTTAAAGCTTTTCCAAGATAATTCTTGGGCAATACGCGGGCTTGTAGTTATTTTATAGTCGAGTCTATATATAATCCTAAATCTCATTTAAACGATTAGGCTTGCCTAGCTTAAAACATCATCGGGGTAGGGGGTAAAAATTTAGGCTGATCATTTTTACCTATTATTATCTCTGTTAGTTTTACCATTTAACTTATCCAAACTTATTTTTGTAAAATGTTTTAAAACTATAACGTCCATACTCTTACGTACACAATCACATTAGAAGATTTGTAATTTGATTAAAAATTTATATAAGCAAACCAAGGTTATTAGTATAACTATTTTTTGGCATTATAACTAATTATTGTCCTTATAATATCCGTTTTAAATTTAATACTATCATTTCCTTAAGGAAACTGTTCTCAACCCGCTCTAAATTTAATTAGAAACGCTTGTTTTATTATTTTGGCAAGATAAATTGACTTTTTTAGCGGGCCTTGAGGATGTTTTTGTAGTGAGCACGATATAGTTTTCTCTCTGTAACGATTGACCGATATAAAATCTAGCGATATCGCAATACGTAAGCAAAATATCACTATTTTCGTGCTGACCATAATTTCAGAGTTTAAACCCGAAACCAGAATCCTTTCTCAAAAACTTATAGTAATAGAACAGGAACCAATTGTAAAATTCCCAAGAACCAGTTTTCTACAAAAGTGCTAATTATTTATATGTATTGTTTAAAAAAAAAGTTACTTGGAGCGATTTTGCATCACTAAAGAATGCCCAAATACTTTTATTTCTAAGAGGGCATATATATTTTATGGAAGAGGGTATCAAAAATAAAAACTAATTTTTCATTGCAATTGGAAAACGCTAAGTAGGAATTAGATAGATATGTCAATAGTATCATGTAAGGTACACTATTTAGCTCAAAAACCTTATGTTATTTATGAATGTTTTTAATTAGGGGTGTACCGATTAGAGGCTGCATTGGGCGGGTTATTCGCCCGCCCGCCCACGTCCGCCCATATTTTGAATTGACATGGTCGGGTTTTTTTTTAAATATTTTCAACATTGGGCAGGTGGCGGACGGGTTGAAAGATATTTTAAAGTAATGGGCGGGCGTGGGTGGGTACATTTTTTCAGGCGAAATGAGCAGAACAGACTTCAATTTATTAAAAATAATAGTTTATTTCATAATATTGTATGTATATTATATATGTTTAATTAAAAATACATTTAAATAAATAAATAAAGAGCCAAACCAGCCATTAAAATTTTTAGCATTTAGGCGGGCGTGCTGGTAAATTTTTTAAAAGAAATTTTAAGTGAGCGGGTGGGCGGGTTAAATCGCCCATTGCAGACCTCTAGTACCCATACCATTTTTTGGAGGCCGATTCGATATTACCGGTATTAAATTGATACCGGTCTGATTCGATGTAATATCTAATTTGGTAAACAACTAATCGTTTTAATTTTCAATGCATACATCTGGTATTGCAAAGTCGTTCCATTTGAGTCTATTTTAAAAAATGGCTAATTTACTATTCTATTCAGAAAAATATTACGCAAGCCTGAAGATTTTGCTCATAACTGGCACAAAGCTTTGGACATATATTAGGGAAATCTCGAGGCTTAGACAATATATTTGGCTAGACGTTTATAAAAATAGGCTCAAATTGAGCGATTTTGCTCATTATAGTTATACTATTAAAATTGTCATTTAAATATATTATAATAACCAGTTATTATATTAATGAATCTAAAAGTGTATTAAAAAAATATTTTTATTGATAAATCACTTATTTAATAATCTAACACCAATAAATATGTGCTGGTAAAATTTTTACTTAAAATGAACTATTCTAAAATATAATAAAAAGATTTCAGGAAAAAAATTAAAAATCAGAGAGCTTAAGAGATACCATTTGAACAAACTGGCCCAGATTTTTTTAAAAAATGTATTATATTTGTTCTTGATTTTCACTCCTAATAATTACAATTTAAAATATGTGGTTTTAAAATATATAGCTCAGCCTGGGTATTTTCACCTGGCCTGGGTATTTCTTTAAAAAAAAATTATATGGCCTGGCCCAGGTTTTTAAAAATAAAGGAAATTAATTAATTTAGTTTGTTTAGATGATTATTATATTTAATTTTAATATAGTTTTATATAATTTGCAATATGTTTTTTTAAAACTTAAACAAATAAAAGTTTTAAAAAAATTCTTGAACCCTGACTTTAAAATTAAAAAAAAGGTTAAGGTTCAATAGAATATTGAGAGCCCTGAGTAAAATGGGTTACTAATAAATAATATGCTAAATATTTTTAAAAAATTACTCAATGTTCTTTAAATGACACATGGGAGGCAAGGCTTCCTCACTAAAGGCATTGTATAAAATCAGATGGGTTAAATTGGCAAATCCTTCAAATAGAATAGAATAGTCTCTGGGTGTCAGGTAATCACAATTCATTATCTCGAGATATGTCAGACTACTTCGGCAATCAGCTAACAACCGCCTTAGCCTCCTAACCGTGCAACTCTTCTTTCTAGACAATTTTTGTAAATCATTTTGGGAAAAATTGTCATCATTTTTCTGCTTTTTTAGGTTAGCTTTATTTTTCTGTTTCTTGGAAATTTCAATGACAACCTTGTTAGTAGTGCTGTTACCCATGTTGGTATCATTGACAAGATCTGAAGAGAGTGGGCATTTGGGGGCAAATGTATCATCTGTAGGAAAAGAACTTTCATTATAGTTTGTATCCTCTTCTGATTCACTTGAATATATGCTAGAACTTGAATAAGAGGCATGGGAGGAGAGGGGGGCACAAGTGTAGATTGGAAAACTAGGGGTGTAGACAGGAGAGTAAAGGTCCATGTCTGATAAATTTAGAGGGGTGAAAATCAAGTCAGTGATTATAAGTGCCCTTAAGCCATTGTTAGAATGCTTAACATCACAAGATGATTCCATTTGAAAGTTTGTGTGAGATGTATCATCAATAAATCTTAAAGGGGACTGCTTGTGATAATTTTTATGTTTAGGATTCTTTTTTGTGTATTTACCACCATTTGTTAAATATGAAGAGTTTTTGAAAACTAGTTCATAAACAATGTCCAACCTTTGAGAAGTTAAGGAACCCAAATTGAGAACTTGCAAACCCAAAGATTTAGAAGATATTGGACTATTGGTCTGTTTACTATTATTAGAACATAAAAGGGTAAAAATATGGGGCAGATGCTTTTTATAATCAAATTGCCCTGCAAGATGTTTATGAGGGATGGTAGGTGTAAATTCATTTGCACTCAAATTATCAACTTTATTATTTGTATGATTATAAATCTCGTATTTATTGATGCATCTGAAAATATCTATACGTTGTAAATGAAATGCAAATTCTGGAGTGGTCAAAATAGCTTCAAGTAAATCATTGCTGATTTTTTGATTATGTAAGGTTAAATCAGTTATCCTGATTGTGTTCTTGTAAAAATTGATCTTTGAGAGGTTTTTAAAATTTATTGTAAACTTTTCAATTTCTTTTTGATAAAGTTTTGGAAGAAATAATAGAAGTCTTAAAAAATATTCAATGCATTCTTGTGGTATTTTGGTATTGTCTAATCGATTTATAATAGCATGATTTACATTTAAACTTGGCATATAATAGAGCCAATTTGATATAAATGCTTTTTCCAATCCTAACAAAAGAATAATTTTTTTAATAATTTCTTGTTGTATTTCTTCACAATTATAATGTTTAAGCTTCCAGTCATAATTATTTTTGTCATTTTTTACCATTACAAAATATTTATTGTATTTTAGGAATAATAATAATGAGGGGTCTATATTATAATCTTCATTAAATATAGGTTGCTTTATATTTGAAGATTTAAGAAAGGTATTACCTGAGTAATTCGTTTGTTGGATATATTCCATCTCTAAAGGAGATATTTTGTAATCAAATAAAAACTTTTCAAGAGATGTGTTGCTTTTTGGAGTGAATGGAATTGAGACTAATATATCTGATGAATAATGAATTAAATTTAATTTTTCATTTTGAGTTAATGAATATGTAGGCAATGTGAAGCTTTCATCAAAAACATTGCAAATACTAGTGGCTTTTTTATATTTGGCTTTCTTATTTGATGATTTTTGGTGGGATTTTAATGTGTTTAAATTTCTAGATAGCTTTTTTTCTAGGGTTATAATATCAACCCGAAGGTAATAAATTTTTTTTATATAAGAAATAATTTGCGCTATACACAAATCAAACAAGGTAGGTGTACTATTCATAATTTGATTAGATAATGTGTTGCAATCTTTATTGTCTTCAGAAGAAAATTCATTAAAGGTTTTAATAATTATTTTATCTTGATCCACAAGAAATATAGTAGTTGAAGCGATTACTTAGATCATATGATACACTATTCGGTCAATACTAAATTTTAGCAATACTATATATACATATTCTTGATCTCGGCAATTTTTTAATTAAATATATTCAAATATAAATTAATTATTAAGAATTCTTTTCCTTAAGATATTTTCAAGGTTTACCGTCGAAATATTCTTTCAAAAATAAATGGCTCAAACCACATAAATATCATAACTACATAGAATCCCCCAGTGGTCCCTACACTTTTTGAGCGAATGAAGCAGAATACCCCCATGAAAAGTACCCCTTGAAAAGTATCCCCCCCCCTTCGAAAAAAATGATAATTATGACACCCATAAATTTCAAAAATAATTTTTATTGCATCAATTTTTAATATATAATATAAAAAAATGCAAAAAATATAACTATAAATATTATTTTTAAATTAATAATTTAGATAAATTAGGGGAAGAGAAAGCGAAAGAATTTATATTTTCATCAGTATTTAATTGTTTAAATAAAAAATTTTCCATTGATAATATAGTTAAATAATTGAGAAAAGAAACTTTCATGGTACTGCGCAGTCTTGTTTTAATTAATTTAATTTTACTCATGACTCTTTCGGCAATACATGAGGTTGTGGGAATGGTTAATAAATATTTATATAAAATTCTTAAATTAGGGAAAGCAGAAAAATTTTAGAGTAAACGATAAGGTAAAATAAATGAATAGTTTTTCCAATCTGAATCGTAAGTCCCTGAATTATCATCATCATCAGAAGAAGCTAAATAATGTATTGGTAAAAATATTTTAATTAAATAAATTTACAATTCTCAGAATCTGACAAATCTTTAGATTCTTGAACCTCTAGGTCATGAGTTTACATTCCCCATTTTGGCCATCTTATAAATATTTCAAAACTTCAACATTTCTTCGAAAATTTGACTTGAATTTAAATTGTAAAATCCACAGATATCCTCTATATCTTCTTTAGTAATTGATTTTTCTGTCATTCCCTTTGGCTTAAAAAATGATGTTTGATGTAAAAATTTCATTGAATCATCATTAAATCTTTCGTTAATAATAATTAAATCGAGTGCAGCATAAAACACACCTATTTTTTTAAAGCTAAAAAAAATTTCTATATTTAATGATGAAAGTATATATACCTCTCCTTTTTGGATTGTAATGTTTGAAGTCTAGAACTTTCAAAATCAAAAGGTAGATTTCTCTCCTTCAAAAAATCTTGCGCCTTTGAAAAAACATCCAAAAATTCAGTGTTATTATCTATTAGATTAAAAAATAATTAAGACAATAATTTATATTATACTTCTCAAATTAATCAAGCAATCTTTTGCCAATTGAATTTGATGTATTGCATACCCTATATCCTTCGAAATGGTTTGCAATTTTGTACAAGCCAAACTTGTTATCAACAATATTTTATCCAAAACACAAAGTGATAAGATAAAATCAAATTTTTCTATTCTAAAGACTGTAGCACTAGCCATAGTGGAAGTGGCAGGATCTTCAGAATCCTTTAAATTTGTTAAAGCTGCCCTCAAGGCATCATAAAGTTGAAAAAAATTTACAATAGCTTTATATGACGATAGCCAGCTTCTAAATAAAAAAAACATTTAAAATTTAAATAAATAAGGAACTATTACCGAGTGGTATTCTTGACGCGTAGAAATCGTTGCGATTTTTTCAGATCATCTGAAATTTTTTGAGTACCTCATATCTTTTTACACCATTAAAATAGACATAAATCTCATCTAGTATTCCTAGAACATTTCGAATTTTTTAATTGATTATCATAATTGAACAACGATTAAATTTAATCAATGACAATAACACCAAATAAAAGCTGCCTTTGGCGCCTCTGCTCTAATCAAATCTTGCACACCATTGATTCTTCCACTCATGTTTGAGGCGCCATCATAACTTTGCCCAACTAGATATTCAAGGGGTAAATTCATCGAGCCAAGTTTAGATATTATATTACGCTTTACGAGACCTGTGGTATTTCCCGTACAATAAATGTCAATCAGTCTTTCAACAGGCTTCGACGTCTCACTTTTCAACATATCTTACTATCAAAGCTATTGCTTCTGATTTCGAAACATCGTATGTGCCATCAACTATGATTGAAAAGCACCTGTTAAATGTAATCTCATTTTGAATTTTTTTTATAACCATATTTTTCATGGTTTCAATGAGAATGTATATGTTTTATATGATAGGTTTGAATATAATTTCGTTTTTAATACCTTATTTTTTTTATCCTTTTTTCTTTCTTCATTTTGCTGTATATACATTTTTAGAATAGGTTCAGAATCTGCAATAAGCTTAATAAGGGCCATCATATTGCCTTCTTGTTGCCTGTTCCCCCAGTAGGCTTGGTTATGAGATATTAAATAAAATTTACTAAACATCGACCAAAATTTTTGTCAATATATTAAATTAAATATTAAGTGATAGGGGGGGGTCTTATTATTACATTTATAAACCAGAAATCACATGATCATGATGGATGTAAAAAAAAAATTATTTTAAAAAAGTACCCCCACTCAAATTTACTGAAGCAGTTGCTTTGGACCCCCTCCCCCTTCGTTGTAGGGGCCCCTGGCATCCCCTAAATATTTCAGTATATAAATTATAATTCACTTAACTAAGATCATTAGAGCAAATCTTTCCTGTTATGATAATTAGAATGGTATTCTTTTTGCTTGCATTTTATTAAATAGTTTTGTTTATATAAATTTGAATATTTTGGGAAATAGTTCTTTTATATATAAAGTGGAATATTTAGAGTTCATGTAAAATTTGAATATGTATACGACGAGATTTTATAAATTTTAGCAATATAAATATAGAGATAAAAAATGTAATATTAAGAAATGTTGAATAATATAATTTTAGTTTTACAAATTGTAACCTTTATTTTAGTTTTACAAATTGTAACCTTTATTTTAGTCGTAACTTATATTTTAGTTTATTTTAAGATTATATTTTCATTTTAGTTTTATTTATTCAAATATTACTTTTGTAAAAAAGATATAAATACATTGTAAAAAAGTTTAATAAAACAGATAATAAAAACATATTTTCACTTTCTCTACATGTTGCCTCGGTGTGAGGTTGGCAAAAAAGACTCGCCACCATGCAATTTTTTGTAATTTTTTTAAAAAATATATATTTTTATGGTGAGATGTTATATGTAAAAATATTAATAATAATAAAAATAAAAGAAACAAATAAATTCTATAAAAGAAGGGAAAAAAAGGTAAAAATTATTGTAAAATTATTCTCACTATGTTTTCCTTCAAACTTATTAATATACCTTTCGATGTATCAATTTATGATATACTTTATGAACTTACTTATGATTGTAATATACAATATTCAAGAGAACCCAATAGTGATGATGTTATCTTTGAATTTTTTTGTCTCAAGGAAATGATTAAATATTTTGAACAACTTAACGGAAAATTTTATGTTTATAATGATGTGGATTGTATTCAACTCCGGTGTATATTTATAAAAATATAATATATCATTTCTATTTTAAATGTTTACATGAAATTTAACAATAAATAGACACTAAACCAGATTTCGTATTTTATAAATTTCCAAAACTTACTGGACCATTTACTGAGATTTATTTAAATAGGGTGTTAAGTTATTTTTCGACAAACACATTACCAGACTCCATTAAAATAAATACTTAACTTAATCATTTATCTGATGATGTGTTTGATAATATTAAATCAATTTGCTCTGATACCGATATATTAGATCTTAAGATAGTCATTAAGAAATTAGCTTACCTTTTACCTGTAAAAGATAAAAATATTTTGACAACAATAATAGAAAGCAAATACAATACAACAACAACGATTACAATATGAATATTGAAGAAATTATTGAAGAGAAAGTCGACTCTACAAAGAACAAAGACGATAACGATTTCAATGTTAACAACTTATCTGGGGACATGCTTAATGATAAAGATAATGCATTTATGACTACTTTAAAAGTGAACGATATTGTTACGAGTATGCAAGTCGGCACAGGCTCCAAACACACTATTATACCTCATGGTCTGGCTAAAAAACTTGGTATTAGAGATGTTAAGAAATCCGAGTATTTACAAGCGGTAGTCGTTGAATCAAGAAAAAATGCCTTGTTGGGACGTATATGGATCAACGCTTTCAAAAATATTTTAAATAAATTTATAGCAAAGGTTGACACTAATTATGAAGAAAAAATTGATTAAAGAGTGTGAATCCAAATTGACTTATGGGCCAATCAACAAAGCAAGTGTCAAGTTACATTTAAAAAGAGATACCCAACCTAAAATTATACCGCCTAGACGTATTCCTTATTCAAAAATTGATCTTGTGAGCAATGAACTTAAAAAATGGATACATGATAAAATTATTGAGCCGGTGAATAATGTTCGATGGGCAAGTCCTATTACCGCCGTCTACAAAGATGATGGGAGCATTAGGCTTTGTGCTGATTTTAAGGACACTGTAAACACAGTTCTAGAAGATTTTAGATACCCTCTACCACGAATCAATGATCTAATAGCTAAACTTTCAGAAGGAAAGAAATTTACGAAGATAGACTTTAAAAATGCTTTCTTACACATCCCGATTGATAAAAGTGCAGAAATATTTTAACTATATCTACGCACAAGGGATATTATCAATTTACTAGACTTACTTTGGGCTTAAGACCTCATCTGCAATCTTTCAACAGATCATGAATCAAATCTTAGGTGACATGGATGACGTCATATTTTTTATTGATGATTTACTTATAGCTGGGAAAAACGATGAAGCCCACCTTAATAACATAAAAAAAAGGGTTCGATAGAATATCATCGTTTGGGCTAATACCTAAAACAAAAGTGTGTTCATTAAAAACAAAGTGAGGTTCCTGGTCATGATATTGACGCCAAGGGGATTCATGCTAATCACGACAAAATTGAAATAATAAATATGCCAGAACCAAAATATCAACATTTCTGGGAATGGCTGGCTACTATAGAAAATTTTTGAACAATTTTGCAGAAATAGCCGATCTTCTATATAAAATCGTCAACAAAGAAAAATGGGCTTGGAACTTAGACTCTAAAAATTTTAATAATCTTAAGAAGTTGATTAGTCTTCCTCCTGCTTTGACATATTTTAATCCTGAATTACCTATAGGGATAGCCACTGACGCATTTAAATGTGGTTTAGGAGCTGTACTATTTAATACTGAAAATGATGAAGAAAAACCTATAGCGTTCGCGTCGAGAACTTTATTAAAATCTGAAATGAACTATACCAATATTGAGCGTGAGGCTCTCGCTATTATGTTCGCTATAAAGAGGTTCCAGGAATACTTAATCGGCACAAAATTTACAATTATTACTGACTATAAACCTCTAGTTCACATCTCTACCAAGGGTCTTAAGGACAATAGTACCACCATGTCCTTAAGACTCCAGAAGTGGAATATAACATTAGGAGGATATGATTTTAATATAAAGTATAAAGCCGGTAAATATAATGTTGTTCCTGATTGTCTCTCAAGATTACCACAAGAATGTCATGATGAAGCTGTTGAAAATATCACTATAATAAATGACTATGGAGATTTACCTATTAATTTTAATCAAATTCGTGATGAAACTTTGAAAGATATTGAATTAAAACAAGTTATAAATGATATTAAGAACAACAAGCCTATAATGAACAATATCTATAAAAACATTGAATCGGAATTAAGTATAATTAAAGATTGTCTTTACAAAAGCAACAGAATCATAATTCCGTCTTCTATGAAATAAAATGTACTACAGTCATTACAAGAAGGTCACTTGGGAGCAGGAAAAATCAAATCCTTAGCCAAAGATTACATGTGGTGGTCTGGTATAAATAATGACATAGAAATGGATGTGAAATGTTGTGACGATTGTAATGTATATCATGACAATCCTAAAAAGATACAAAAACCATGGGTTTCGGCAACCAAACCATTTGAAAGGATACACATAGATTATGCGGGTCCGTTCTTCACAAGAAATTGATTGATAATAGTCGATGCCTACAGCAAATTTCCAATTATTGTTCCTGTTTAAAATATTACGACTGATGTTACTTTAAAAGAAATTTTTAAAACTATTTTGTTATATGGAATACCTGAAACTATAGTTACTGATAACGGCACTAACTTTACTAGTAACGATTTTGAAAAATTTGCAACAATTATGGTATCAAACATGTGCTCACATCTGCTTATCACCAGCAATCCAATTGCCAGGTAGAACGCATGGTGAGAACGTTCAAAACACATATGAAAAGGAATATCAAAATTGACTTAGACATCGCACTTGACAAATTTTTATTTAATTACAGAAATACGCGTAATGATACTACAGGAGTTACACCAATAGAATGTTCAATCGAGATATTAGAATTAAATGGGACTTATTAAAACCGTTGGAGGAGAAGGAGAACAAAATAAACGTTACTTTACCACAAAATAGAACCTTTAACGTAGGAGATTTTGTTTGGTACAAAGTACAAGGTGATGACAAATGGTGTAAAGGCATGATCACATACAAAGAAAGTGACACGATGTTCCAAATTAAGACAGATAAAGGTATTTTGAGGATACATTTAGATCAATTAAGAATTAGAAACTGTTTTAACACACTTATTAATTATGACTCTAAGGATTCTTTTAAGGAGGGAAGTGTGGACAAAAATATAAAAATTACTGATAAAAATGATATAACACCGATTTCTAGACCAATGCGAATTAAACAAAAACCTGCTATTTAAAAGACTAAATAACTTAAAATATAAAAATCAAATAAATATTAAAATGCATAAAGTAAATTAAATATTAAAACGCTTACACTAAAACGCAAAAAATGAAAACGCTGAAAATATTATATAATAATCTTATTGATTTATCATTCTTCATTTATTCTTATATCCAACTTGATGAACTATTATTTCTCATTATTCGTAACTTACTGATGATAATAAAAATTTTGAAAAATGATAATAATAACGACTGAGCATTACCAAGCAAGCTACATGATGAAATCATGATTTATAAAAACAACTTACGATAAGGATATCAAGCTTACGATTTAAACATCCAACGTGCAAAATCGATTTAAACAAACCAACGATTGGGACAAGCCAGCGATTACTATGACTTACGAAACAACTTGATGGGCAAAACGTTAAAACAATTGGGCAACAAACTAACTATGACAGCACAATTAAACTTATGTGAAGGCTTCTTTAGAAGAAGGAGAATGTTGAATAATATAATTTTAGTTTTACAAATTGTAACTTTTATTTTAGTCGTAACTTATATTTTAGTTTATTTTAATATTATATTTTCATTTTAGTTTTATTTATTCAAATATTACTTTTGTAAAAAAGATATAAATACGTTATAAAAAAGTATAATAAAACAGATAATAAAAACATATTTTCACTTTCTCTACAAGAAAGAAAGGAAAACCTTTATTTTATATAATTTTTTAGTTTGATTTTATATTTTTAGTTTATTTATGTTTGTTGAACATGGATTATTATTTTATTATAATGGTTATTATATAGCGCACTATTTTATATGTTACATTCATTTAACACCATTTAAATTAACTTAACTTGATAGTTTCATTTAACTTAACTTAATAATTTCATTTAATTATTTAATAGTTTTGCTTATATATATAAAGGATAAAATTATTATAGTTTTTTAGTCATATATTGTAGTTAAACATTTTAAAATATATTTATTAAATAAAAAATTTGTCTTATCTTCCTTACTCCCTGCCAACCATAACAATGTTATTTTAGATTTTAATTATATTTAATAAATAAAATTGGCATTTTAAATTCTTATTAATATTAAATATTCAACTTCTAACAAAAAGTAATTTTATTAAATATTTTTATTTAATCTGCTTTGCTTGAAACCTAAATAAATAAAGCAACATCCAAATTTGATTACATATTTTTTTAATAGTAAGTTATCACAACTATCTATCATATAAAATATGGCATGTAATTTTATTTATTCGTAATAATAGTTTAAAAAATGTTAGATGTGTTGTAGCTGTTGAAAAAAAGAAGAAATAAATTTAATTGATAAGAAAGGTAAGACCAGTAAATATTTCATGTTAAAGATATAAATTAATTTATAAAAATGATAGCTATGTTTGTATATTTTTAGGCTAGGTTAAGGAATAAGAAATATTATGATGAATAGTTCATTTCTATTAATGTTTGTATATTATTAATGTGGTCAGTAAGGTAGTTTCATAAATTGAACTACAAAAGGTTTATATATTATTAATATGGTGAGTAAGGTAGTTTCATAAATTGAACTACAATTGAAATAAAGGTTTATATATTATTAATATGGTCAGTAAGGTAGTTTCATAAATTGAACTACATTTGAAATAAAGGTTTATATGTCAGTAAGGTAGTTTCATAAATTGAACTACATTTGAAATAAAGGTTTATATATTATTAATATGGTGAGTAAGGTAGTTTCATAAATTGAACTACATTTGAAATAAAGGTTTATATATTATTAATATGGTGAGTAAGGTAGTTTCATAAATTAAACTACATTTGAAATAAAGGTTTATATATTATTAATATGGTCAGTGAGGTAGTTTCGAACTACATTTGAAATAAAGTGTAAGGGTTGCATATTATGTGATATATTGGTGGTTTAATTGGAATTAAACGGATAAAGTATTTCGTGAATGATAAATATACATGGAAATGGACTTTTGTAATAAAGTATGTGTTATATAATTATGCATTTTGGGTTTTTAAAGGGATGGACATGTGTGGGATAATTTATTATTAATTAATGTTAATATATTGTATGTGTAATTTAGTTTCAATTAAGGTTGATATGTTATTAAGGGATCTATTGAGGGTGAGTTAATATTGTTTATTTTGAAGTAATTAACTATTTTTATGAAATAGGGTGTGTGGATTACACAATGACATATAATAATACCTAGACTGACGATTCATTCATTAAAATGCATTTTTAAGCGTCGTTAAAAGCAAATCAGCTGGATCAGCCATTTTGGTAACCTTTATAATAATTATTTTCATGTTAAAAACTAATATTAAATTGATAACTTACTTTCTTATTATCTCGATGATCAGGCAATTCTTTAATAAAGTTTGCATCAGATATAATATAAAATTAGGCTCTCGTTTAAAATTTTAATATTTATTACAGTAACCAAGATGGCGTCTCTAGCTGATTTGTATTGATGTACACTTTTAATGAATGAATCGTCAGTCTAGGTATTATTATATGTCATTGGGATTACACATATGATATATTTAATTATGAATGATAATTTAAAGGAATTGAAGTATGATGAAGTCAGAATAATATCTATAATGTTATAGGTGGATAGTTATTTTGATTTAGTGCCTGCATTTGATATATATATAAATTGGGTATGGATTTATATGATATATTAGATGATGTGTAAGATTTTTTTTTCAAATTATGAAATCTTTATATTTAATATATATATATATATTTTTTTAAATTATAAAATTTTATAAAAAGTTTTATTTGCAATTATTATATTATTTTTATGGTATGCAATGATGTGAAGGGAAAATATTTTTACAGATAGGTCGGCCATGTTGATGGGTATGCCTTGAGGTGGGAATATTGTTTAGTTTGCATACTGGAGAAAGTTTTTTTTTTTATACAAATTTATGCTGCATATTACATTTTTTTATCTTTGTAATAATTTTATAGCACATCACATTTTACTATTTATTTTATGAACATTTTTTTTAAAGAAAAGACTCAAATTATTTTATATTGTGAAGGTATATTAAAAATTCTTTACATATATATCATATAGCCCATTATATTCTCAATTTTTGTTACTTCGCATTCTACATTTATGTGAATTTGTGCTAATTGTGATGGCAGGGTTAGATAGAAATGGTACATTTTTACTATAATACTGGGTAATTCATAGATGAAAAGTATTTTATTGTCTAATTATATATTATTCCTCCTTATAAAATATTAAATTTATACATATTCCTGGTAATTTTGTAAATCTTTGTTCGGCAAATTTTCGCAATTATTTTTAATACCTAAAAATGGATTTTTTCTATCTATTTTGTAGTTTTTTTCACATGACCGAAGGAAAATTACATGTGTTGAAATTGCATTTCACACATAAACCATTTGTTCACATTACAGTATTATATGTAAAATCATTATTTCCTAATTACCATTAATCATACCCAAATGATGTATATTATAGATCCTATTTCTCAAATGTCTTAAAATGAATGAATTATTATGTTTTGATGATATTAAATTGTCCATATTAAGGTTCCATAGATTATAAATGCAGATACCCCAATATACATGTCATTAGTGATAATATGTGTTTTCTCGCCTATATATTGAAATGTATCGGAGATATTATATTATAAATCATTATAAGGGAAGTCGATTCGATAAATTCCCTGAACGTCTTCAAGGCGTCCCGATACAATTCAAAGAGGTGATTCGATACAATTCCAAGAGATGATTCGATACAACACCACCACAGAGAGAGGGACGCTGGGCTTGTGAAGGGTGGGCGTGTTGTAGCTGTTGAAAAAAAGAAGAAATAAATTTAATTTAATACATCAAATGTCAGTTATTTTCTGACAGGAGAATTAAGTTTTCCTGGTGGATGGGAGGAAAACGAAATGATCACATGGGTTGTTGCTAAAAAAGAGTCCTTTGTTTTGCTATTTGGAGTGAAGATATTGGATTAATTGGAGAAGATGTCAGCTGGGAAGAACAAAGAATGGAGAAGATTCAACTATTTTTATAAATATGAAATCTTCTGATAAATATAATTATGAATAAATATGGATCTTGGATAGCCGTAAGCCAAACACCTATTAGCAAAGAAATGCTATTTTTTATCATACGCCCTTCCGAATCAATAGAATTTATGAAGATATTGATAACGAATCGAAATATACTCGCTAATTAAAACAGCAGTCAAGAATATTTTGATTTCTACAAAATTGATGAATTCTGAATATAATTGTGCTGAAATTGCTGGAAATGGGTGTGGAGGGGGGGGGGAATTTAAGCTTAAATAAATTATAGATTCATGTGAATGGTTCATAACGCTCTCTTCACAAAGTGACCTGCCATTTTGTTTCTCCTTTCGTTGTTAATAAGTAGAGATTGTTTGTAGTATATTAAAGCATCATTCTGCACCTTGATGGTGTTATATGATATAATTTCTAGCTCGATTATCTCGAGTTGGTAACATGTAGTTTCGTTTGTTTGTGTTGTGGTGATATAGATAGTCAACATAACTTTAAGATTAGTTTGTATTTTACTTACTTTTTTACAATTTATTTTTTTATATTTATATTGTGATATAATAACTTTTTTATTCTATATATATTTACAATTACAATTTTATTATTCATATATTGGATATTTGCTCATATTTTTTTTTCGTTTTATTTTTTTATATTTAATTTTTTGTTTTTTTACCTTTTATTTTTTTATATTATTTTATATTTTACATTTTATTATATTTTACTTTTTTATCGTATTTTAATTTGTTTTATTTCATGTGTCATGTTTTATTATTTTATATATATCATTTTTTTCAATTTATTATTTAAAATATTTTTAATATAACTTAATCATATATTTATTTATTTTATTACTTTGAATTTTAAACATTTATTTTTGAACTGATATTAAATTTCATCTCTTTACTATTGAG